ATTCATTAGAGCGCGAAGAATTGAGAGAACTGCAGGTATATTAAATGGCAACTCAGTTGTAGATGATAATAACAATAACAATATAAATAATAATAATAATGATGATAATAATAAACTAGAAGAGAATTCACATCTGCCTCACTCCATGAATTCTTTGATATATCACATGCCGTTTTGTATTATATTCATCGCAGTATAATCACAATCCTATCCTATCGTACCGTATCCTATCCTGAATCCTGCAACTAGAGGAACAAAGCAACTCGGCATTTACTATCAATCGATTGTATAATCTTGCATCCAATCTGTAGCTGTCCACTTAAAAACTCATCCCTGCCCGGGGGATGTGTCACATGAAAAAAAAAAAAAATAAATAAAATTAAAAAGAATGGAAACGCTGTCTCGAGGTCCTGATGATGATAATGATGCTGATGATAATGTAGAAGAGGCGTGTTTGCGTGTGGAAGCGATTTGAGAGAACGTACGTGGAACGTGAAGACGAATTGGCGCCCGAAGGCCGAGGGGTTGGGCAACGGTTGGTCGCCATGACGACTAGCAACCCCTGCGATCCCTCGGAACCCCTACAGTCGAGCTTGGTTGAAAGGGTGGCCCAGGGCGGTGCGAACCATGTTAGGTTAGTCTCAGCAAATGTCACACGAAGGGGACAAGGACGGAGATTCCTCGCTGCACCAAGATGGCTGACTTGACACCACCATGTCAATAACACCCTCTCGGTCGCCTCATGCGCAACCCTCTTTCTTCCCTTCTATTCCGAGTACAACTCATCCTACCGCTCGCATTACTTTCTTCTGCTCTCTACTCCACACCCTTCGCCAGAAAATATGTGCGTGATACTACAGTATTTGTACTCTGTACGTGGATGCGGTAAAAACTATAAAATACTTGGAAATATATTGAGAGGAATTTGTTCTCTTCTCTCACAATGCGTACTCGCTATCACTCCTTTTTTTATTTCCTTCATTCTGCGAGTAATTAATAAGAGTTGAGAGGACTGGTTGAGTGAAGCTAAAAATATACTTCAACATTTTTTTTGTGTACTGTCAATAAAGATAGGGTTGTAAAATGCTATTTTATTTATTGAGTGTTTTTATAGAAATTTTGCTTTCGCCCTTTTTTCCTTTTTATGCTTTTATTTTTACAAATTTTATTAGCTGGGCTTTGTCATGAAAGCTTTTATATTACTTTTACTTGATAGTTTTTTAAATGAGTAGTAGTCATTCAAGTATTGAAAAACTTTTATTTATTAGATACTATTTTTTAAAGTTATTTTTGGCTATTTGATCCAAGTTAATTTTTATTGCAACGTTTTATCATCATCAAAGTTCTTATTTTTATACAATGATTATAAATTAATAGAAATAATATAAAAATTATGAAAAACAAATTTAGAAAGCATCTAGCACACCCAAGTGTGTGAGACAAGGAGTTTTACCAACTTTAAAACTCAATTTTCAATTTTTTTGCTTACATTTAATGAACAAACATAAAATTAAACTTAAATATATCAATTTAAGTTATTTTACTTTCTAGTTTTAAATATTACGTGCTTTATATTCTCTAGTTTAAAACTGTACTTTTTAAAAAAAATTTTTTTGAAAAACTAAATAATGGATTATTTTTTCTATTATTTTTTATTTCTAAAAAATTTCAAGTCTCAATGTTAGGAGAACTTCTTCTATAAAATGAATTTGAACTTTTTTAAATAAGTAATTCTCAAAATAATTCAAATTACACAAAAAAAAATGTATTTAAATTATAATTTTACGAATATTCTTTAAATTTTTTTTTTTATACTTGAGTATTAATAAAAAAAAAATAATTTTGAAAAATTTTACCAAGAAAAAAAGTTTTAAATTCACGTGAAATAAACTTGTAAACTAAAAAAAGTCTTAGTTTGATAACTTTTCTGCTTCATTCAAAATGATCTTGGTTAAAGTTTTTATCTCTTGAACGAAGTTAATTTTCTATCAGTATATTAATAATACATTTTGAAAAGTTCTCTTTCTGTCAGTACTTATATGCTTTTAATTTTCAGCGTCATAAATCTTGAATCTTTAAAAAATTCCATATTTTTTAAGTATTTTATCAAACGTGTTTAAAGAAAAATAAAAAAATAAAAATTTTACTATCAATTTTTTGTTCAAATATTTATTAATATTTTAAACATATAAAAAAAAATTCAAACCGGAAAATTAAAATTCCAAAAAGTTACAAATTAAATAAATAGTCCTTGTAAGAACATATTTTCCAAATTTTGAATTTTAAAAATATAAAAAAAAGTCGATTTTATTTTTAATTCTAGACAAAAATGCCCTTTTAAAAAAGCACAATCAAAAAAATAAAATTTAAGGGCAGTTGATCTTTAGCGGATATATTTACAATTTAGAACGCAGATAGTCTAGGTTATATAATAGGTCACACGATTGTGCCTCGGGATCTCGAGGGTGCGATAACTTTCGTGGCGAGCTGTATCCGACGAGATGAGACCCTCACATAGGGGTTATCTCCCCTCGGGTGTTGGGTGTGTTTGGTTGCTTGGCAACGACACCCTCCAAGTCCGGACTGCGATTGGCTCCGTTCTCTTTCCTGTCTTAGTCCTTGTCTCTCTCTTTTTCTCATTCTCTCTCGTTCCAGCTTGTCTCACCTTTGCATTCCACCCCTTTCATTTATATCAGCAACCCTATCAGTGTAGTGTAGTGTAGTATACCCTTCGGACTCAGTATACCATCAGCCAGTGGACCCGTTCAATTTACCATCCTCCTATCAACCTCTCAATCCCCTTCTGCATGTCACCAATAAACTCTGTTGAAGAACCAAACCACTCAAAACATCACTGATGCAGCACATGTACCGAGCTAATAATTTCTTGTGTACGTCCTCCATAAACCTCGTCCTTCTCATCTACCTCTCGCATACGTTTACATATACACGTCTACCTTCGATCAATTCTCTATACGTCATTTAATTAAATTTTCTACTCGTACCCTTTCTTTGATCTCAAGTACTTGCCTAATCGACTGAAGGGTGCCACGTAATTTCGTCAAGATGTAGTGTATTTTTTTAAATAAATGCAAAAATAAAATAAGCATGGTAAAGCTGAATATTTATGCTTCAAGCATTCATTTTATAATCAAAGTAATCGATCAACCATATAAAAATTTTCGTTGAAAATCTAACATTGATTTTTAATATTAGAGTTTCTCTGAGATAAGTTATTTAAAAAAAAACTTACACTGAGAAAATAAAAAATTTTGTCTATAAAAAAATTTCTTTACTCAAGAATTATTTAAAATCAATTTTGGTTTTTTGACAATAGAATATCAATATCTATGAAAATTATCAAGAATATATATTCTTGCGACAAGAAAATTTTCTCAAGAGTAGTATTTTTTTTTTTCACCGTGTAAAAAAAGCTCAAAAAAAATTATTTTATTTTTAGTATTGAATATTTTATTTATGATTATTGCTATGGCTTTTTTAATTAGGAAAAATCTTATACAATAATGTCATTAATAATAATAATTATTTGATATTTAAGTACATGAATGATTTGAACATTGAAAAATTAAAATATGTTTTTTTGATTTTTCTAAAGTGATTTTCGGAAAAAACCCGCATTTTTAACGTAAGAAACGCCATTTTCAGGCACAGTATCGAAATGATTCCCGAAGAAATTCTTGACTGGCATGTAAATTTTCTTGGCTCAAGAAAATATTAAGGAAGGTTGAAAACTTCTTGAATAAAGTCAAAATTTCTTGAGCCAAGCAAATTTTTTTTTGCTCTAAAATAATTTTTATTTTTCTTAAAATTTTCTTAGCGCAAGAAATTTTTTTTTGTGAGTACTACTGCGTGATCTTTCAGAACTCTTGACAAAAAAATCGATAAATGAATTAACTGTAAAAATTTAAATACTTTTAACTAAATTTAGTCAGGACAAACGATGTTATCATCTAAATAGAAATACATAAAAATTTTGAAGTTAGAAATGAGTCAAAACTCGTAAAAACGGGATATGATTCATAATTGATTAAAATGAAGGTTCGTTTTCCAAATTTCTAGTAATTGGGGAAAAAAAGGTAAAATACTTGCCAAAAAAAGTGAAAATTGTGGTCTCAATGCTTATCCACGAAAATGACGTCCATTTTTTAGATAATCGGGCAAGAGCAAAACAACCTCAGCGCTTGAAGCAAGTTAAAAAAATAAAGGTAAAGTTTCATCGGAACTTTGAAGTTTTACCAAAAGTTATTAAAACTCTTTGATAAGTGATATAAATAAACTTAGATTTTATTATGGGCATTTGAATAGCACAAACAGTGAACGAATAGGAATATTGTCTAACTTGGAGCATCATATGCTCGGTCGACCTCTAGAAATCCGATTATAGACAAATGGTAGCACAAACGTTTAACGATAGTACGCGCCATTGAAGATGATTCGAATATATTTTCTGACTTGGCTTGGAATTTAACAAATGGCTGGTGCCTGGCACTCTTCTTCGGTTGTTATGATTTAGAAAAAGAAGAATAAAAAAAAATTCCTTTGAATCGATAAAGGTGCAGACACATTCTACCATTTCATTATATTGAAAATGTTTGGCCTACCACTTGGAGGATTAGGCCTCTCGCTTTTGCTCCTCTCTCCACAATGTACCATTGATATCTTTAAATGGATTTTCTGTATAATGTCCATTCAATCCAGAGTCTCGAGTGTGTTTTGACGCTTGTGTCACTCGTAACTCGGTGATCCTAAGCTTTCTTATTCTGTGTATACTTAACCCTTTTTACGGATGTCTTTCTGTCATTTCTTTCTTTAATTGTTGACAAAACTGAATAATCTGTGAATGCAAGGAAGGATTACCTATTATTCCAGTTTATATCTCTATTATTCTCATTTGTTCAACTCTGTAAAAAACGTAAATAAATACTAGACTAATTTTTGGATTACAGCTGTAATTTTTTATTTTTTTTTCTTTTTCAGGTCAATACAAAACGCAGTTTCAAGAGTGGATTAACCAGCAATGCAATACAGGTTTATAAGCAATTATTATTTTCTATAGATCTATTGTTCCGTTAAATGTTATTGGTTTTTATGAATTTTAGTTTAATATATTTTACGTAAATTTTTTATTTATTCATTTATTGCATTAAGAAATAAAAAATTTCTTCTAGCAAGAAGTAATCACGGCCATTATAATATATAGTTAGATTAAAATCTTCTTGATTTGAGTAAAAAAATTCTTAAAGTAATAAATTTTTCTTGGTTTAAGTAAATTTTACTTGATTTAAGAATTTTTTTTCTTGATTCAAGACAAAGAAATTTTTCAAAATTATTTTCTTGGTTCAAAAATTTTTCTCTTAATTCACGTCTATTTTTTTTGTGTAATTTTAGATCGCTAAAATCAACTTTTTTCTAATTTTACGTAAATAAAAAAACAAAAATTTGAAAAAAAAAAAAAAAATTTTTTTTAGCTTTAATTAAAATTAATTTTTTTTTTTAAATGAATCTTAATTGACATTTTTTATTAAAACTGAACGTGATTTTAATTTCAAAATTAAATTGAAAAACATTTTGATAAATTGATGTATTTTTAACTTAAAACAATCACCCAATTTATTTTAAAAAATAGTTTTATAAATATCAAATAACATACATAATAAAATCTTGCGAGAAGAAATTTGTAAATTTATAATTTAGCCACTTATTGGAACAAGTACGCACTAAAACAAAATGATTATTTTTAATATTCGATATTAATTAATTAAAAATTTACAAATTAATTTTAAATAAATGTAAAAATAAAAAATTGGAATAAATAGAAGTAAAGTTTAACTTTTCAAATTAAAATTGATTAATTTCGCTCATATTTGATAGCGTTAATTGATAGAACATTTAATTTTATAATTTTATTACAAGAGTGGTTAAAACGAAAAGACTGTTCAACTTATTTATTAATAAATTTTATTTATTCAAGTAATTATAATTAATCAATAAATTAAATTAATTTTCAAATAGAATTTACAACTAAATTTTTTCTACTATTGATTTTTTATTTTCAATGTTACTATAATATTAAGTGCGTAAACAATTAACAATTGACAATTTATATTGATTAACGAACCGAAAGAGCTTTCAATATTAATTCAACTGCAAACAGATTCCTTTAGTTCACTATACGGCAAAATCGCTAAAAAAACTACTGAGTGTAAAAAACTAAATAATTCTTTTGTAACTGTTTTCAGAGTTCAACGATGTAGATATGGAGCTTGAAGAACTTCCGGAGAAAAACAAAATTAATGATAAAGATAAAGTTAAAGCACCTGTTGAAGAACCTAAAAAAGTCCCTAAAATTTATTACGGATCAAGAACTCACCGGCAGATTTCTCAAGTGATAAAGGAACTTCGAAGGACTGCATATTCAAACGCTAAAATGACAATATTAAGCAGTAGAGAATTCACATGCATCCAGACTTCGAATAGAAACAAGACTGAGCTGTGCAATGATTTATTAGACCCAATTAAGAAGCAGGGATGTCCCTTTTATAATGAATCAAATAAACGTGTCTTATCAACTTACAAAAGTTTAGACAGATCGACGATACCACAACCCTGGGATATTGAAGAGTTGGTGGAAGTAGGAAAGGAATATGGCTGCTGTCCGTATTTTGCAGCGAGAAATCTTTTGCCAGAAGCTGATATTATTTTTTGTCCGTACAATTATTTAATTGATCCGAATATTCGAAAGAGTATGCAAATTTCGCTAAAAGATGAAATAGTTATATTGGATGAAGCTCATAATATCGAAGACATTTGCCGAGACAGTGCCAGCGATACATTTAGAGTTGATGAATTGATGGAAGTTATTAAAGAGTGTGAGCACTTGATAACGAACGTTGCAAAGGATAAAATTCCTCAGTATGCGCCTGTGATTAAAACTTATATAGAAACTTTCAATCAATTTATTGAAATTACTGATCTCAAGTGTAAGGTAAGATATTATAATTATAATTATAATTAGCAACCTTGCAGTCACTATGTAACTGCCGTGACTTGTGAACTCTAAATAAATAAAATTTTGCTTCATTAAATAATGACTTTTCTTAAATTGCACTGTACTTTCTTAAATATTGACATTTTTAAAGATATAAGCTTATCCCGACATTACACTCATCGAGACCTTTCATTTGAGTACCCACTTCAATTTTTCATATATTTATATATATTATATATATGTATATATGAAAAATATATCAAAATGCATGTGGGTACTCAAATGAAAGCTCTTGATGAATGTGACATCGGGATGAGCTTATATCTTTAAAAATGTCAATAGTTCACAAGATACAAAGTAATTTCTTAATTATGTTAAATTGCACCGTACTTTCTTAACTATTGATGTTTTTAAAGATATAAGCTCATCTCGATGTTACTCTCATCAAGAGCTTTCATTTGAGTACCCACATGCACTTTTGTATATTTTTCATATATACATATATATATAATATATATAAATATATGAAATATTGATGTGGGTACTCAAATGAAAGGTCTTGATGAGTGTAACATCGGGATGAGCTTATATCTTTAAAAATGTCAATAGTTCACAAGGTCATTTCTTAATTATGTATCTAGAGATAGAGCATTTTCGAATGCAGCCTAAATACTTATCATCATAAATTGACTATTGGTGAGAATGATATGAAACCTTGAAAAGGCACAACTCCAGGTCAAGACTTTTTTTAACGATACCAAATTTAACCATAAAAACCCATTTTATCATATAAATACATTAGCTACAAAATTTTGCTTATTTTTTAAATAATATAAATTTAAATTAAAAATGCTATGAAATTAAATTTAAAAAAATTTTATTTGTATGATCGCTTTATAATGACAATAAATTTTTCAGGACGGTAAAAGTGACCAATTGACAAGTAAATTTTGGAGTAGCCGCGAGCTTTTGGAGTTAATGAGTGTTAATAAATTAGAAAGACAGAATCATTACCAATACAAAAAAGCTGCTTTGGAAGCCATCGAAAAACACAATGAGGCAAAAGAAAAATCCCGTGAGCAACCTAACCCACACGCAGATCCTAAAAAGCTAGTTTCAGATCCTACAATATCGCCTAATACTGTTCGTGTTCTCGAGAGACTTAATTTAGCTATCGATATGCTGACGTCAGACCAGTTTTCATCCGATTTCCGAGCACTAATAAGAGAAGTTCCGGAAAGATTTTGTCAAAAAATAATAACAGTAAGAATATTATATTTTTTTATAAATTATTTTAGTTTGTAATAATTAATACTGAAAAAAATTTTTTCAGAGATCACCAAGTGCCAGTCAAAAACCTCGAAATCAACGAATTCGAATGCTTGATTTACTGTGTATGAATCCAGCAGTAGTATTTTCACCACTAGCTAATTCAGCTCGATCAATAATCCTAGCATCTGGTACATTATCACCGACATCTTCATTCTCCAGTGAATTGAACACTAAATTTTCGCACATGCTCCACGCAAATCATGTAATACCTAAAGAGCAAGTTCTCGTAAAAGCAATTAGTCAAGGGCCAAATAATGTTGCCCTTCGCGCAACTTACGCGAATGTTAACACTTGGAGATTTCAAGATGAGCTGGGACAAGTTCTTCTCGACGTATGCCAAACAGTGCCTTTTGGAGTTTTATGTTTTTTCTCGTCGTACACAGCAATGAAAACATTAACTGATAGATGGTGGCAAAACGGCGTGATGACTAAGTTACATCAGTGCAAACGCATCCTGGAAGAACCACGTGTCAGTAAAGATTTATCAGAAGTAATGCGCGAGTACCGTTCAATAATCAGACAATGTGAAGAAGGTACCATAGAAGACAGTAGGATAACCGGCGTAATTCTTTTCGCCGTCTTTCGTGGTAAAGTTGCCGAAGGAATTGACTTCAGTGATAACGAAGCACGCTGTGTCATCACCATTGGGATCCCTTACGCCGTGAGAAATGATCCAGCGGTTGAACTCAAGCTTGCTTACAATGATTTTCACACCAAGGAAAGAAAATTACTCCGCGGAACTGAATGGTATGCTGTTCAAGCTTTCCGAGCTTTGAATCAAGCTCTTGGAAGGTGTATTAGGCATAAAGGCGATTGGGGCGCCATATTATTAATTGATGACAGATTTCTGTTACCTCAAAATCAAAGCTATCTTCCTAATTGGGTCAAGTCTATGTGGAGCAATCGCTCTAAAGACTATAATCTCCGTGAAAATTTAAAACAGTTCGTCAGTCAAAGGACTAAGGCTGATAATGAACGTAAGATGTTAGCAGATTAAGTAAAAAAAAAAATTTATTTAGTAACTTATGCTCATTTGAGCATTAATAACGTCTTTTCTATACAATAATGTCTGGTAAAATATTCTGTTTTTGTTTATTTTTTTATTATTAATGTATATATTGATATAAACGTTTACAATTATGATGTTGAGTTAAGTGTATCGCGTTTTTCAATCATCCGTAATTGTTTTTTCTTCATCCTCTTAATCTTCGCAGTATTTTTTATCTGTTAAAATAAAATAATATATTAAGTCACTATTTAGTAAAAAAAAAAAAAAAAAAAAAAATAATGTCATATAATTTATAATTGTTGAAAATTTTTTTTATACTTACTACTTGGACAATTTCACTTTTTTTGGCATTTTCTTCAGCTCGTTTGAGATTTTCTCGTCTTCGCTCCTTCTTAGCTTCTTTCTCTACCTGAAATTGTTCTTTTATTGCGCGTGATTGCTCTTTAACACGTTTCAATTCTTCCCTCAATTTTTCTTTTTTCTCAAACGGCATTCGTAGACCCTTAGATTTTATTATAGAAGAAAATCTGACGAACCAAAAAATTAAGTCATAAGTGATTAAAATAAAAATGCGTCTTTAAAATATTAATGTACAAACAAAAAAAAAGGGATTTTATTATTAAAAATATTTGCAGAAATTTTATTACTGATTTACGAACAAGATTTTCAATATTAAACAATATTGTTAGCTCAAATACATTTTAAATATTTAATATTTTTATAATACAGACTAGTATTAAGATTTCTAGTTTATATTCTTAGAACAAAAATACATATTTTATTTAATGTCAAAGAAAATTTACCATTTTTTTATTCTGTCTAATTTGACTAAGTGCTGTAAGAAATTGTCTAATATAGTAACTATATTAAAAAATATTTATGCCATAATATGTCTTCTATTTTTTTTTTTTTTTAAAGTTAATACTAATTATGAGCATATTTTAATAAAAACATTGACGAATAATTAAATAAATTTTTACACAAAATTCTAGTTAAGTAATCGAACTGTAAATTTATTATTGAATTTGTAACTTTACTGTTGAACAAATTAAAAAAAATATAGATCTCAGATTGCAGTTTTTCAACTAATTTTATTTTTTAAAAAAAGTTCTGTAACTTCTGAAAAAAAATCGTTCGTGAGAAATTTGATTCTTTAAATGAATAATTTTTAATTATAAAGACTGTTATTTAATTAATGTAAAGTTATCAATCATTCAATTGAAATTTAATCATACTGAAGTGAAGTTCAGTATGATTAAGTTCTTATGAATGTAATTAATAAAATAAAAATTACCTATTGTAATTATAATTCTAATTATAGAAAATAAATGATGTAACATAACAATTACTCGTTGATTTAAAAAAAATAAATAAATGACGGATGTTTTTAATTATATTTAAATTACTAAAAAATATTTGATTTTTTTTAAATTAAAGTCTATCAAAAAAAATTTTTAATTTTATAAAATGTTTAAGATTTAATAAAATGTAAAATCAACTTAATTTTAATTTATAAAAAATAACAATTACCTCTTTTTGGGAGCCATTGACATATGACACGTGTTGAACTGTTTATTTACTCAAATTTGCAAGTGTTCCAACACTGAAATAAATTTATTCCAATGTAATTAAAACAAAAAATAATTTATTTGTTAATTAAAATTACTAGAATAAAAAATCATCCAACAAAAATATCTATGACAAATAATAACAGATAAGAAAGGTTATGTTTATCACGTGCGTACCTTAGTAATGATTTTGTATAAGTACAATTATCTTTTTACGGTTACATATAAAAACTAAATCTTGAAGCCCATTGGCTATAAAATTATCTAGAATCTTATATTTCAGATAATTTTTTTTACTTTCATAATATTCTAGAACGTCATTGGTTGAAAAATATTTCACTTTCTTAAAACAATCAATTAAAATTTAATAAGTTCTATTAAATAATTAAAAAAATTTTTTTTATATCACTTATTAAATATTTCATTCACTGATAGGAAAAAATTACCAAAATTACAGCTGGAAAGATATTTTTTCTGATGATTTATTTTGCTAGAAAAGTAATCAGCTGACATCTACTGTCAATTATTTAAACTAAAATTTTCAAACTGAAACGTCATAAAAATTTTTACAAATTTTTTCAATTTATACTTTAAAAAGTAAATTGTTGACTTTTTGTAATTTGTTGTAATTTCATCTAAGTGAGCTTTAAATTTATGTCTATTTTTATCAATTATAAAATTGGAAAACTGAAAAAGAAAATCAAATGTTGATAATTAACCATTACATGATAAGTAATTAATATTTAATACACAAATAAAAAAATTGGAAAGGTAAGAGAATTAGATATAAGAGTCATCATTTGTTAGCATAAAAAAGTTGATTATATATGGTAACCTACTAATAAACTTATCATTATTTTTATAGAAAGTAATGATTATATTAATTTTACTATTTAATTAACACATTTTTATAAGTTTATTTATATAATTTTACATTAATTTTTTTATAATATATTGTATGTAATTTATAAAAATAATTTAAAATTTTCAAATGAATATCAACGTCATCTTAACACGTTTAATGTTTTGTAATTAAGTGGTAAGTAACATATTGTAATTATTTTTGTGGTATAATTATTAATAACTATGTCAATTAAATGCTTATTGAATAATTTAATATGTATTTTGCAGATTGTTCAAATTACACTGACAATGGAGCATAACGACTCGAAAAAAGGTCTGATTGGTGGGCAGGGTGTTCAACAAATGCACATGTCAATAATTAAACCACAACCTGACCCTAACGAACCTCCGATTGTTCATAATAAAAATACAACTCCTAAATCTGTCGAAATCAAGGATAAAAAATCTTATTCTGGCCCTGACAAAGACTCTGTCATTGATATTGATGGTGAGAAAATTTTTTAATTATTCAAAACTAGTTTTTTATGATTTAAGTACAATAAGTTATAATTATTTAATAAACACATTTTCAATTATTTAGTCATTCATACAGTAGCTAGAAGATCTTTATTAAATACTGCAGCACATCTGTAGCAATATCAGCTTGAATTTATTTACAATATCTCATGACCTCAATAAAAGTTCATTTATTTATTTTGGGATATTCATACTCTATATTTTGTTTTACTTGCTTAGAAGTGAGAACATTCGAATTTTTATCAATAATCAATAGTTTGTTATTTTTATTATTTATTTATTCAACTTGCTTGTAGAAAAATAGTACATTCATTACATGTTCATGATATTCCTTCACATATATTTTAATTTTTATTTCTATGTATGTCTAAATTTATAACTATAATTTGCAAGTAATTATTGATATTGTCAAATGTTGAATCAATTATGGATGTTATTTCTAGAATAGTTTTATAAAAAACAATTTTAAATGTATACAATAACGAAAAATTAATTTTTTATTGTTGAATCTATCAAGAATAGGTGAAGAATGTATTTAGGCTGATATAATTCTAATAAGTTATGGAATATACTAGAATGCAGTCACATAATATTTTAGACCATCTATTATCTAACTTGATTGGAAATTTTTTTTTCTAAAATATTCTAAGTTACAATCACAATTTATGAATAAATTATTTCATGATAAAATTGGTTTAAATTAGAAGTTATTTAGTTTCACTTAAAATAAAAAAAATTTATAATTGTACATCAAGTTAAAGCTCATAAAGAAAAATTGATTTAGCACACATTACTTGATTTTCGTCACAAATATTGTTAGATTAGATACATTTTATAATTATATCTTTCTAATGTCTAAGTAGAAAAAAATATTTACTTTTACTTTTTAACAAATTTATATTTTGAATTAATTCATGACATTAAAGTTAACAGTGACTTAACTATTTTTTAGATTTATTTAACAAAATAATTATTTAAAAAAAATTGCATTTTTTATTTTTTTTTATTTCTAAATTTTACTTTTTTTACCATAATTTATTTGTTAAAAAACTTCTTAAAATTATTAAATATCTGCCAAGTTAATTTTCATGATTAATTCAATGAATTTTTATATTATTAAAATTTCACAAGCAATCCAAACGCTTTATTGACTGAAAATTAAAAAAACTTTGTCTGAGAATTATATTTATAAGGCTTCATGACATTCACTTATATCAAATTAAGGTTTTACGGCATACATAACAAGTGATAACATACATTTTTAAATTTTCATTACGATCTAATTTATTAAATAGAAGATAAAAAATGCCCGCGAATTTAAGAAATAAACGTAAAGTGATAAAAGTAAAAGGTTGAATAATAAAAAAATTTTTCATTAACTATAATATAATTAAGAATCATAAATTAAAATTACTAATACTTGTTTAAAATTTCAGAAGCTACAAATGGAACGGAGAGTGATACGGAAGACAGTAGTAATACCAACGAACATTTTGTTGTTACAAGACCATTTGGGCATAATTTGGAGTGCGATCCAACTATTGATGACAGATTACCAGAGACAGTAACTTTATTAACAACTCCAGAAGGTGGAAAAGTGTATTTAGTAGGAACTGCTCATTTCAGTGAAGAAAGCCAAAATGATGTGTCAATGGTTAGTAATTCTTATAAATTTATTTTGTTTTATAAAAATCTAATGTATTATTTATTATATTAATATAAATTTCAATATTCTTCAGATTATTCAAGCTGTTCAACCACATGTTGTCATGGTTGAACTATGTGATGCTCGTGTTCATATTCTACAATTAGATGAACAAACTATTCTAAAAGAAGTTGAAAGTTTAAACATGCGTAAGTTTTTTAAATTAAATTCATTTATAACATTAAAGTTAAGTTACTTAACCATTTTTTAATTTTTTTTAACAAATAGATTTTTTTTTAATTATTTTTAAAAAATTACATTCTTTATTTTTTAAAATTTCTACATGTCAATTTTTTTTCTACTTTTTTTTTGCCATAATTTATTTATTAAAAAAATTTTTTAAATTATTAAATATCTGCTAAATTCATTTTTATTTTTAACATTATTTATCACAAATATAGTACTTTTTTTTTTAATCATAAGCGAAATTATATTTATTTTAATTAAATAGTCTATCAAAAAAATTAAACGTACAATTTTCCATAATTATGATTATAGTCGTGTTTAAAAAATATTTTAAAATTTATTCCAGAAAAAATAAAAGCTACAATAAAACAAAACGGTGTGTTCAATGGTTTAATCTACGTTTTATTACTTAATATGTCAGCTCATATGACTAAACAATTAGGAATGGCACCAGGTGGTGAATTTCGGCGCGCTTTTACTGAGGTAAATTTATAAACAATCAATTTTTCCAAAAGCTCATTAATTGTAATTTAGGCTACTTAATTTTTTTGGCTGTAATCAGTAATGTTTGAATCCCTCGAAAGTTTAAGTAAAGAAATTATATTTAAAAATTTTTAAGTTATACTTTTTTAAGTTTATAAATTCATTCAAATAATCTCTTTAAGTCCAAAAATATTTTGGTAGCTAAAAATTTAAGCAACAAGCTTGAAAAAAAAATTAAAAATTAAATTAATAAATTTCAGGCAAAGAAAATACCTAATTGCTTAGTCCAGCTTGGAGATAGACCGATAAATATAACGTTGAAACGTGCCCTAGCTTCATTATCATGGTGGCAAACATTAACACTGTTTTGGAATTTATTGAGATCAAAAGATCCAATCAGCAAAGAAGACGTTGAACGGTGCAAACGCCGTGATTTATTAGAAGAACTTTTAGCAGAGATGACTGCCGAGTATCCGCCACTAGGTAAAGTGTTTGTCAACGAGCGAGATAAATACCTGGCTCACTCACTTCAACTGTCTGTCCGACCTTTCCAAACATCACAGGGCATTAAAAACTCCCGTGTGGTTGGTGTCGTTGGCATTGGTCACATGCCAGGTATCATTAAATACTGGGGCAAAGTACAATCGTCTGAAATCCTGCCACTTATGGAGTAAGTTATTATTCTATAAAATTTTACTGTTATATCTCATCTATATTTGTTTTGAGTTGAATTTGTGCCTTTTCAAGGTTTCATATTATTCTCACTGATAATCAATTTATTATGATAAGTATTTAGGCTCCATTCGAAAATACTCTATCTCTAGATACATAATTAAGAAATGACCTTGTATCTCGTGAACTATTGACATTTTTAAAGATATAAGCTCATCCCGATATTACACTCATCAAGAGCTTTCATTTGAGTACCCACTTCAATTTTTCATATATTTATATATATTATATATATGTATAATGTATGTATGAAAAATATATCAAAAATGCATGTGGGTACTCAAATGAAAGCTCTTGATGAGTGTAACGTCAGGATGAGCTTATATCTTTAAAAACGTCAATAGTTAAGAAAGTACAAGGAATTTTAACAAATATCTTGTGAACTATTGACATTTTTAAAGATATAAGCTCATCCAAAAATATAAGTTCACCCCGACATTACACTCATCGAGACCTTTCATTTGAGTACCTACATCAATTTTTCATATATTTTTATATATTATATATATATATATATATATGTATATATGAAAAATATATCAAAAATGCATGTGGGTACTCAAATGAAAGCTCTTGATGAGTGTAACATCGGGATGAGCTTATATCTTTAAAAACGTCAATATTTAAGGAAGTACAGTGCAATTTAACAAAAGTCATTATTTAATAAAGCAAAATTTAATTTATTTATAGTTTACAAGTCACGGCAGTCACATAGTGACTGCAAGGTTGCTAGTTTATATTAAAATTCAAAAATTTATTTTTTTCAGAATACCGCCGCAGTCTTTATCTAGTAAAATACTCCGAGTTACTTTTAAAGTATCTGTTGTGGGTGCTATTATTTACGTAGGTTACAAATTCATACCAATGCCATCGGTGCCGTCATTTCAATCATTCAAGTCATCGGTTCAGGGACTTTTTAAGGTCAGTGCTAATCGATAGGAATCTACAGGATACATTTTTTTTTTCAATCGAAAAATTTAACTTTCTTATAGGCAATTATTATTATTATTATTATTATTATTATTATTGTTAATAGTAGGATAAAAATTAACGCACTTTATTTATACTTTATCAACGAAAACGATTTTTGTTTTTTTTAATTATTTTTGTGCTGCTTTTCGCCCAAGTATTTTAAGGCAGTCCTCGGTGTCTGGCTGTAAAATAAACGCATTCAAAAAATAGCAGGGTAAATATTATGGAGACTGGCACTGGCGTTGGAAAAATGGATGAGTACGAGCATCCAATTCTCAATGTTATGTATGTATCAAATAATATTCCAGGCAAAGGAATTGATATTGACGAATTCGAATCAGAATTCACAGTAGGCTGTACGTGCAAATCTGAATGCACAGAAAACTGTTATTGTATGAAAGAAGAAGTCAATTATATTAATAATCTATTCAACGAAGATAAATCGTCCAAATTAATACTAGAGTGTAATTCAATGTGCTTATGTTTAAATAACTGTAAAAATAGATTAATACAACATGGACCGATTGATTGCTTAAAAATAATTCATTCTGAATTAAAAGGTCTAGGTCTGTCGACGTCGAAAGTTATTGAAAAAAATAAATTTATATGCGAGTATGCCGGCGAAATTATTGGGATTGATGAAGCTAAACGTAGAACTGAAGATAATAGGATAAATAAACAAATGAATTATATTTTAATTGTTTCTGAGCATATTGGTAATAAAAAATTAACAACTTGTATAGATCCCAAATATTTTGGTAACATTGGTCGCTATTGCAATCATAGTTGCACACCAAACGCTAAATTAATTCCTGTACGCGTTAATAATTTAATTCCTCATCTTTGTTTATTTGCCATAAAAGATATTCAAGTCGATGAAGAAATAACATTCAATTATTCTGGCGATGTCGATACGTCTATTAAAAATATCAGTGAAACGCCATGTTTGTGTAAATCTAGTAATTGTATTGGATTTTTACCGCATCATTTAATTTAAATATTTTTATTTTTTTTTTTTTTCTGTTCACTTGTTAATGCATAAATTACACTTAATTAAATTTTTACTGTAATTTAAGTAAAATTAATTTTTGTTTATTCTAAATTTTATATGAAATTAAACGTATCGATGTAACAATAAATATTTGTTGAGGATTTATGAATAATTTATTGTTAGTTATTGCGAGCGATTACAATTTACTGAAAGACAAACATATTTTTAAAGTACAACATTATTTTTATGTATGTGTGTACAAATTTGATTTGTTATTTATTATAAATCAAACGGAAATATGTATTAAATTTATAAACTACCTGAGTGTAAAGTAATAGTAAAGTGTATTTTAAATGAAGAAGCAGTTATTAGTGAACGTATGTTATTAATTATAAAGTAATACATGTAAATGAAAAACATTGCTACAAAATGTTTTATTCTGGCTTAAAATAAAATCAATTTAACTATTAATACTGTTGAAGTAAAATAATTATTTATAATTATAAATAAATTCAAATGAGTTTTTTTTTAGTATTTACTAAAATTCATTAAGATTAATACTATTAATTTTTATCAAATAAAATAATTTTGGTCGCAGTAGGTCATTTTGTAGCAAAGTTATTTAAAGTTTATTTTTAATCATAATAAATAATATATGTATTAATTAAGTTATCAAATGTTTTATCATTAATTAAAATAAATTTATTTTATGTCACAAAAAATGTCTAATGTGCAAGTAATCGCTGATATATTAATGACTTAATGAGTTTCTTAACATTTTTAAATTGTTTGTCAGTTTTTTTGTTTTTTTTTATTAACAGATAAATTACAATACCAATGTTATTACAGTATACACGCATGCATGTATACTAGTAATAAAATAAATACTACTATTATTCATAAAATTACTCTAGATAAAATTTACAAACAATTATGAAATTGTTGATGACTCATTCCCTGAATCACTATTTTCAAAACGCCAACGGTAGTAGGCAACTCTCATGCGATCCCAAATATTGTCAAATGAATCCATAGCTGGCCTAACATCGAGCAATGCAAATTTATATTTTGCATCAACCATACCACCGTCATAATAATCAATAACATATCGTACATCTTTTCCACATCGGTCAACGATCCAGTCGTGACGATCGAAAGGTAATTCATATCTGAAATTTAAATGTTAAAAATTAAATTAAAAAAAAAAATCTTATCGTTTTAATTAAAAATAAAATTCAAGTTTCTTAGTACACTTGAACAATAAAATTTATAAACAATTACCCCATCAGTTGACGAATTCTTGCTCGAGGAGAGTAATGAGAGGCTTTGCCTCCAAAACTTTTCAACTTGGGCGTACCACATTCTCGAGCATGAAGTGCCTCCCATTTAAGTACCTCTTGCCAAGCTTGTTCATTATTAGCGTTGTGAATTCTAATAATGTGTTCCATGTCTTTCGGCTCAATATCTTCATCCCTCCAGCGCCAACCTTTTCTCAGCATAGCGTTCCAAAACATTTGCTGAGATGGATACACCCAAAAGGGTTCTTGTTCCGAAGGTCTAGGTATCGACGAAACTTGCCGGTCCGTAGGTAAAGGGAACGGCTGGTCTGGTGCTGGATTTTGATTTGCTTTAGGCATCTACGAGATAAACATTGCGAATTAATTTACAATCTTCCAAAAACTTGTTGATTAGAATCCTCTTAATCGACCTTATATCTCGTGAACTATTGACATTTTTAAAGATATAAGCTCATCTCGATGTTATGAAGGAGCTGAGTGGAGGAGCAGCTCAGGGTTCAGTCCTCGGGCCAGAACTCTGGGTTATCCTTTATGATGCACTTCTGCGCCTAGATCTACCGCAGGAGGTAAAGCTAGAGGGTTTTGCTGACGACGTGGCAGCACTAATACTTGCGCGGAACGAAGGCGAAGCGCAAGGATTGGTGAGGCTTGTTGCGGCCTCCATCAACGCATGGCTAAACGATCATGGGTTGATGCTGGCCACTGCGAAGACGGAGGTGGTGGTACTCACAGCTCAGAAGTGGTTTCCGAACCCTTTCCAGATTCAAGTTGTGGATCAACACATCGAGAGTCGGGGGGCTCTGAAATACCTCGGAGTGACAATCGACTCGAAATTGACGTTTCGAGACCAAATTGTCAGTGTGGCCACAAGAGCAGCAACGACGGTGGCAAATCTTTCCCGGCTTATGCCAAATGTCAGGGGACCAAAGAGCAGCCGCAGACGAGCTCTCATGGGTGTCGCTAACTCGATCATGCTCTACGGAGTAGAGATATGGGGAGAGACACTCAAAGTAGAGAAATATCGGAAGCAACTGGCATCGGTACAACGAAGAGGTGCGCTGAGGATAGCCTGCGCCTATCGAACAGTCTCAGAGGCAGCTGTGTTGGTCATCTTGGGTGTAATTCCAATCGACCTACTGGGTCTCGAAAGGAAGCGGATCTGGGATGCCTGACGGGCTGGCGAAGGACCTCTGAAAGACGTGAGAACCCGTGAACGTGAGGAGACACATCTTGCGCTCTGGCAAGAGCGCTGGGAAACTGGGGAAACAGGGCGTTGGACGTATAGGCTCATTGGGCAGATCCGTGACTGGGTACTGAGGGACTGCGGGGAAGTAGACTACTATCTTACGCAGTTCCTTGCTGGTCATGGACAGTTCAATGCCTACCTACATCGTATGGGGATCCGAAACGATCCTTACTGTGTTTACTGTTCGGGAGTTGCTGACTCTGCTGAGCACACCTTTTTTGACTGCCAAAGTTGGTCTGAAATACGGCTGCGTTGGCGGGAAGAGAAGGAAGTGCCTTAGAGGAAAGAGGAGGAAGAGGAAGAAGCGGAGGAATAAGCTGCAGGAGCAGCATGGAGGGGGCCTGGTACTGCGAAGTAATGCTAACGCGGTCCCGCAGTATCAGGTACAAGAGAGGGGAGGGTTTTAGTGAGTAAGAATCTCACACTACCGGCAACCGACATCATCAACATCTAGTCGGTGTCTATGAAGATTTCCCTCCTCTCGCCAAAAAAAAAAAAAAAAAAAAAAAGCTCATCTCGATGTTACACTCATCAAGACCTTTCATTTGAGTACCCACATCATTATTTCATATATTTATATATATATATATGTATATATGACAAATATATCAAAAATGCATGTGGGTACTCAAATGAAAGCTCTTGATAAGTGTAACACCGGGATGAGTTTATATTTTTAAAAACATCAATAGTTAAGAAAGTACAGTGCAATTTAACATAATTAAGAAATGACCTTGTATCTTGTGAACTATTGATATTTTTAAAGATATAAGCTCACCCCGACATTACACTCATCAAGACCTTTCATTTGAATACCCACATTAATATTTCATATATTTATAGATATCATATATATGTATATATGAAAAATATATCAAAAATGCATATGGGTACTCAAATGAAAGCTCTGGATGAGTGTAACATCGGGATGAGCTTATATCTTTAAAAACATCAATATTGAAGGAAGTACAGTGCAATTTAAAAAAGTAATTATTTAATAAAGCAAAATTTTAATTATTTATAGTTCACAAGCTACGGCAGTCACATAGCAACTGCAATCTTGATAGTAATTATTAAGAAAAAAATAGTACCATATTCAAAGGATTTATCTCGGAGCTATCCATATGATCAACGGGACATTCACTGGTATATTTTGGAGGTTTCTTATCACCAGATTGATGCATAGGACATTCTGGTGGTGGAGTACCTTCAAATGATTTATGCACATAATTGCTGTGTTTTGATGCATTAATTTTATCTTCATGTGTAATAACGCTTGCTGCTAGGACACTTGCACTGGTTAATGAATTACCCATTTTTTTTAATTTTTATCAACCTAAAATAAAAAAAAAAAATTATTAATTGACTAAGGTAAAAGATCCAATTATTGACATTGGCCTCGTTATTGACACTTGCAATTTTATTTTAATTAAAAAAAACAAATCAACTCTAATAAATTAATAAATATAAATTTTGAATTATAAATTTAAAAATAATTGTTTTTTTAAGAACATTTTATTTTTTTAATTGGAATAAAATTGCAAGTGCAAATTAAAATGTGCAAACATATTTAATATCAAATAATTTTTAGGAGTATAACCTCAAAATTTATATAAATTGTCTTTTAAAATTGTATTGTATGAATAAATGAGTGAAAATGAACATTTTAAATAAATATAAAATGCTAAATATTAAAATAAATTTAATTTCATACTATTTTATAATTTTTAAAATTAATCCTACTCACCACGATCGATGATGTAATTTTGATAGATCTTATGTCAATTAAAAACTTGATGATACAGTTCAATGGCACATTATCACTCAATTAAATAATTGTTAATAAATTTAAATATTTTATTATATTGTTGTTAAAAAAAACTTTTTGAGAACTGAGACACCTAAATCCCGAGCTCTCAAAAATTATTTCCACTGATTTCTAACGCTTTTTTAGGATGAAGGGCATGCACATGGCGTGTAGTCAGAAAATTCATACGTAAACTTTAGGATTTCAAATACAATGGCAATGCCGTGCGGATATTTTTCTTTTTATGTTGTTACTCCTGTCAAGTAAAAATACATTTAGGGGCGTATTTAACAGGTAAGAATTATGACATTGAAGTTAGCAGTCACTTCACAATTTTTTAATTTTATTTAAAAAAAAAATTTACTCCAAAAAATTATTTCTGAAAAATTGCATTTTCAATTTTTTTAAATTTTTACTTTTTAATTTTTCTTAGAGTCGGGGGAGACAGTTTCGCCGAAAAAAAGTAGGTAAAACAGGGAGGAGATATATAATGTGAAGGCGGGAATGCGCAAACTTATTTTAATTAAAATGAGAATTGGCGCTGCGGTAGATGAAACAACTATTATATCTCTAGTCCCGACCCTTTTCTCTTAATAGCCATAATTTAACATTTAATATCGATAAGTTATCATCAGGGTTCAAGCTAATTTCATAATAATAACAACATTAAACTAAATTCCTGTTTTTATCATCACGATATTTCTAATTTCTAGGAACAATTATCAATGGCGGATAATAAAAATATGTAATAATGATAATAATAATGTCATACTATAGAGTATAGAGCAGCAATAATAATAACATTGCAAGAGTATGGAGTATGTGGAATATGTGAAAATTTAAAGATAAGATGCGCGAATGTGTACTACAGCTGTGTGTTGTATTAACAGCAATGACAGCGCTTTGACATGAGGCTAAATACGATATATATCACCATTTACACTAAATCCAATAAATATTACGATAACAATGTAATGTAAAGTGTCAAAGGTACGATAATAACTATTGTCATTTGCTAAAAATCTGTCAATAATATTTTAACACCCTAATTATTTTTATAACATACCAATGAATAATTTTATACATGTATTATATTTATTTATTTATTGTTTTTATCCCAAGTAATCATTGCTGTGTACTATAAAAATTATTTTCTTCCTTTTATTAAAGAATAATTTATATTTTGTGAAGAAAAATTTGTTTTTTGTGCTAAAAATCGGAACGTTATATTATGAAGCTAATCAGCTTGTACATTGTGTCATTAATTGATATCTCTGATAAAAGAATAATCTTATTGAGTCATGTATTTTTACTTGTTATTATTATTATTATTATTCATACATTATATAAATCATAAATATTCATTGTATTAAAAGTGTAGATTGTTTCATCAGGTTATGTGTCTTTTGATATAAAATAATGATATAAATTAAATTAAATCAATTGATATTTAAAATTTATAAATGTCAATTGATCAATTGAAAATAATTAATATTATTGTTTAAGGCCGACTAAGAGGATGGGAATTAGTTTTATGAGTAGCTGAGATCAAGAGATCACCATCACCATCATCATCATCATTACCATTATCACCGCAATCATTGCCGTCATAATAACCATTACTACAAATATAAACATCAACATTTCATTACAAGCATCACGATGGCGGACTACGAGCTGTACAACAGTACAGCCCCATCCTTTTCGGGGATCGAGCCGGCATACTGGAATTATTCGGACCATGTTATCCTCGATGATCTTAAAATGGACAGCAACTTTATCTGGTTGCTCTGTTCACTGGTATCCGCAATATCATGGGTCATCTATATTGCCTATTACAATAGTAGAGTTATTGGATATATTATAACGAGACTGTTAAATCGGTTTGTAATAAGAGATGGATATGTCAAAGTTGGTAAGTCATTTTATTTAATTAATTATTCACTCTTTATTTTATAGTTTAAAATTTATAAATATTTTTATGTTTTCAGGATCGCTAACACTGTGTGCTTTAAGTGGAAAAATAATGTTTAGAGATATAGTTTATATCACGACTGATTATAGTTTAAGGATACAAGACGGGTGGTTAATATTTAGATGGTGGAGAAGTTATGTTCCTAAAGATGTATCTGAAGGTAATATTTTTAAAAAGTACTCCAAAATTTTCCATTGAAAATTGGATAAATGCACCAATTATTGACCGGTTAAGGTTTTCTTTTTTTGTACTAAGCTATAAAAAACTATTAGCTTATTAACTACAAATTATAATGGATTTTATTAAAAAGGAATACCTCATTAATAATAATTAATAACTATTTGTAATAAAAATTAACAAAATTATATTAATTTAATGTAATTAAATTTATTCAGTACTTTTGAAGTATTAATTACATCTTTAACAGACATTGCACTTTGAGCTAAATTTATAAAATTATTTTAAGTCGTACTTTTTTATAAAATAATATAAGGTAAAAGACCCAGTTATTGACACTTGCAATTTTATTTTAATTAAAAAAAACAAATCAATTTTACACTGAGAAAAAAAAAGTACTACTCTTGAGAAAATTTTCGTATCACAAGAATATATGTTCTTGATAATTTTCAAGAATATATTTTCTTATCTCAAGAATTGATCGAATTAATCGAAGTATTTTTTGTTTAATTTAAGTGAACTTATTCGTTGGTTAATCGATCAAAATTAATGCCAATATTTTATTGTCATGGTAGATATTGATACTCTTTTGTCAAAAAACCAAAATTTATTTTAAACGATTCTTGAGCCAAGAAATTTTTTTATGGACAAAAATTTTTTTTTTCTTAGTGTAATAAATTAATAAATATAATTTTTGAATTGTAAATTTCAAGATAGTTGTTTTTTTGAGAACATTTTATTTTTTTAATTGAAATAAAATTGCAAAGTGTGAAATAGTAATTAATTAATTTTCATATACATCGGTCAACTAATTAGCAACCGATCAACAACTAGTGCATTTACCCTAATATTAATTTTATAATTTTATTAATTACTAACTACAATTGCTATTTTATTAACAGATCTTTCGCATTCCGATACACGTCTTTCGGTAATGTTAAATGGATTTGAGCTTCATGTGTACAATCGATGTGACTTGTACGCACGTTTAGAAAAAACATTCGGCCTATCCTCGCAAATGTTCCCAGACGAAGATATTATCCATACAGTTAATATCGATGACCGTGATGGCGAATCAATGACTAACGCGGCCAATGAAGTACGTCAGCAAATAAATGCCATGGATATGTCCCGACACATGGAGAATATACGTAAACAAGAAGCACACGTGTTGGCACGTACGTGGCGTGATTTAATACCTGTGATTAAATTGGATATATGCACCGGGAGAATAGTATTTGGTAATCGTTTAGTACCAACAACACTGTCGATAACCGTCGAGGAAGCTCATTTTGTTTATTCGACAAAGCCTGCGGCTTCAAGGCACGATCATTTTATGCACTTTACCAAATGCAAAGCTGAAAATTTCAAAGTTATTTTAGCGCCTAGTCCTAAGTACACCGGAATGGTTGACGATCCGCCAAGGTATATGGGTGAAGGTTTTGTGGTGCTCAGTTCAAATAATATGGAGGTTTATTATTATATGGACGAGCCAGGTGTAGTACCAGAGCATCCGGAAATGATTAGATTAGCAAATGGTGATATGGTTGAAGCAATGCCACCAATTTGGGGTATTGACGTAAAGTGTGGTAAAGGTACTGATTTTAGTTATGGGCCTTGGGCTGATCGGCAACGAGAACATTTGTTTAAATTTTTCTTTCCCAATGATTATCAACCGATGAAAATTACAAAATCACCGCGACCTGGTGACAAACGACAAGTCCAATCATTCGATATTCGCCTGTCTACTCTCAATGAAGCTACTGTCGATATTTTATTCAGCAAAAACCGTGAAACTAATGCAGTTCACATAAACGTAGGCCCGGGATCTTATTTGGAAGTAACGATGCCGTGGATTGTTCTTCAGGATGGATACACCACTAAAATAACTGGACAATTGTTACATCTTGAAGCAACTACAAGTCTTCAGTATCGCAGTCTCGTTGAAAGTGAAACTCTTGAATTTGGTATTAAGTGTCACTATCCGATAAGATGGAATGATCATCAAGAGTGGACGTTGAATTTGACTGGATGCAAAGCAACAGCTAATTTAGTATACTCTCATAAAGAATTTTTTCAAGACATGATTAATGACTGGGCAAGTAAATCACGACCTGATATTCTACACTTTGTCCCTTATACGTGGAAATTTAGCTTACTGTTAAAAGAATTCGAATTAATTACTATTTGCAATGAGTACAATTGGATCGATTGTTCATCGCAAAATCAAGAAAATGCGCATATTGCATTCTGCGGTGAAATATTTGATCTCTCATTTGACTTACCCTTCACGGACTTTTTACCAGTTACTATCCCATTGCGTTTTTGGATCCAAGGTGAAAGTGTTGATTTATCATTTTATTTACCTGAAGTTAATACAAATCGTGTAGTGTTGCTAGCTTTAGATAAAAATGCTAAAATAATAACCCGCGATGGTTCAAGTAAAAACATTGCGGATTTATCACGACTGAAAAAATGGAGAAATGTTTGTCAAAAAAGTTTAGGATGGATAGATTGTTGGTCTGTACCAATAGTAGCTCTTAGTATTAACTATACGTATCACCCGTGTCCACCTCTGGGTCCAGCACCTCAAGCAAACATAACAACACCCGAGAAAGAAGAAATTCTGCTGTCTCCAATGAGGATTCCACGATGCAGAAAGTCTCCTGGACTTCGTTGGGCTCAGGACGGCAATCAGAAATTTGACCCGCAGTCAATAGCACCTGACAAAGTCAGCTTAGAACTGGAAATTGGTCCATCGATGCTTATTCTCTACGGAGCATTAATAAAAAATTTTCTTCATCTGAAAGAAAATATTTTCGGGGACTATCAGACATTCACAGATATGCAGCAGAGTCGACCGTCCGTTAACAATCCAGCCGACAGAGGCAAAGATCGCGATACGCAAAACAGCAGCGTAGAGGCCTCAGTAGAAGAAGAAGACGCTCGCTCGAAAACATTCGATCCCCGATACTACCGTCCACTCGAAGTAACCGTGGGTATAACGATGCACGATATTCAAGCGCATTTGATTAAAAATTGCAACGACAATGATCCACCGTGTCCTGTGATTCTTTTAGAACGTTTTGGCTTTGAAATGCGCAAAGGATTCAAAGAAACAGAGCTCCAGCTTTTACTTTCACCCGCGATAATGCTCATAACTGACAACGTCAGCCGATCAAGCAAAGACAAACACTTGAGCCAAGGACATTTGATGCTCAGCGCGCTTCAAGTACGCGGACACGCAATGTTCAGCAGCGAGGGCCGCAGCCTAGATCAAGAAACCTTGGAGTACGCTTGGCTAATTGAAGTCCAACTCGGAAAACTCGGTGGTAAAATTTCATCACCTCAGCTTCATCACTTGATAACGTCCTTAGAAACGTTTCTGCTGACAGCTAAAGACACGGAGAATTTGATGCGACCACCTGGACTGCCACATCACTGTCACCACGGCCTACCACCGCTACAGTGCCCCGACAGTGATCCAGACAATCACTACAGATGTCCCAGCTCTGAAGATATCAAGTACAGAATGACACGAGTGGCAATTGACGCAATAGATCTTTATTTACAGGAAGCTGGTACGGCAACCCAGTTATGGATATCACCGATTCGTGTTTCAACGTGCAATTTACACGGTCAACAAGTTAAATCTGGTGTAACTGGAGTAATGCCAACAATATTAACCCGTCAATTTGTGTCAGCTGCGGGACACTTTGCAAATACAAGCAATACAAACACAACAGGAAGTGCTAGGTCACACACTAACGCAAGCAGTCGGATGTCTGGTGATGGGTCAGATGTCTGGCTTGAAGTCGGCTCTGTATCCATGGGTCCAGTTGTTATTGAAGCTGCTGTTTCGTTGCCGAAACCCGAGCACAATCTTCACATTATCCAAAATAAATATCTTAAAACTCACGACGAAGCAACCAAAAGACTCTGGTTCCTCTGGCCTCAGGAAAGCGGGATCAAGTCTGCTAAATGTGGTTGCATCGGTGGGTGCACTTTTTTTGGTAGCAATAAAAATGGCTCGCGGTTCTTCAAGCCTAGTTATCACGATCTACATGACGGAATAAATATAGCGGCGTACAGAATAAATCCAACTGGAAAAGAAAAAGGATTTGGTCAGTCTATCTTGCATGATGACCAGTTAGTTTTTCATACGCCGCCTTACAGCTTGCAAGACGTATCTCTGCAGGACATTTATCATCCAGCTCCGGGGACGAGACTCACAGTGTTCCAAGAATCTACACAGTCATCAAAGCCCAGTGTGGAAGGATCAAGGTCTGCAATTGACTCTACCACTGAGGATGGAAGCACTAAACTCAGCACTGCATCAGGTAGCCCAGCTAGTGATAAAAAACCTCTTGGCAGGCGTTTCTCGTACACGTCAATCCGAGGTACAAACTTAAAGGACGTTCCTTACTCACGTCTCGTCGATGCAAGTCCAATAACTCAACTACCTCAAAAGTTAGACTCGGACTCGAAGTTAAACAGTGAACGTAGCAAATCAATATTGAGTGTACCTGAAATAGATAGTGCTCCGAAGAGTAGTGTGTCTGACTCAAAGCTTGCAGTGGATTACTTCAACGCACCTGAGACAGACATTTTACAGCAGAGTTGCAGCCCGCAGTCGCTGCCGGCTGTATCTTCTGAGTTGTCTCATGCGTCGAAGCCACCCACTGCAGCCAGGAGTGCTGATGGTGTATATATTTCCGACTCGCGTCAATCATTGTACAGAGGAACTAAGTCCAGCTCTGAGGAACGTCTCAAGCAAGAGGTACAACGAACTATATCAATGTCTTCGGAAAATCACTCAGAGGCGTTTTACTCTGCTGATGAAGACACAAGTCACGGGTTAGCTGGCAGTCGTACGTCCAGTTTAAGGCAGTCGATAGTAAGCGCAGGTCCTCTTTTAACGCGCAATGGCAGTATGAAGAAGAAATATTCCTCGGACTTGTCCATTGTCGAGAGCTCAGCGAATACTGGAGTTGTTGTTGGTGAAAAAGCGCACACACTGGAACGAGCTAAGACGCAACAGCCCCGCAGGAGTCCACGGATAATGAAAAATAGTAATTTTTCAGAACCTGAAGGCAGTCCTAGTGAAAACGGTATTTTGAATGATTCCTCGGACACTCACTCAGTATCCTCGACGAGTTTTATATCAGCAGTGTCGTCCCAAGAAGACATGGCTCTCGTTAATCTTCATATGCAAGTCAACAAACCGATTGTTGACTCTCCGCTTCTTATGTCTAGCTATGTTAGTCATTTGACACAATTGAAGTGTTCCAACTGGAGTCAATCGTCATTTCCGTCAGCCAGCGATGCTTTTACTACTCCCATGTTTCGTAGGACTGATGATGGAAGACTGGTTTACGTTGGCGGACGATTTATTCCTAAATTTGATGTCGTTACTGAAGGATTCACGTCGTTGAAAATGGTTACGCGCAATGACACCTCGCCTATGGCCAGTTCGTCGAACAAAACACCGACCCATCCTTATCTCTGGGACAATGCTACCTTGATACAGTCCGAGGGTGAAGATGATAATAACACCCGTGACGAAGAAGAATTGTTGACGGTTCAGCATGAAACTGGCTCAAGTACTACTGTTATCATTAAATTAAAAGGAGATGTTGACATTATGATAAGTCCAATGGTGCTAGAGTCGCTTCAACGATTCATCGATGTCATTACACCTACTCTTGCGAGTTTGCATGCACTGACAATACTCAATCATCTTCACAGCGAGTGCATTTCACGGGTAGAGGATGCTAATATTCTTAAACAAGACCAGAGTTTGTCGTACTGGAGTCAAGTACAGACGAGTTCTAAGCGATCTACAGCCGAAAGGAATATAAAAAATGGTGCGGGTGATGAGAAAAATAAAATTTTACAGACTAATGTTTATGAAGAAAGTATCACTACGCAGATGCAAGGTAGTATTATTTTGCCTAAAATAAATATTACACTTTTACAAGCTTCTGTAGTCGAAGAAATTATTTCGTTCTCTGCGCTGGATAACATCCGGGATCTGACGTGTGTTTCGTTGTTTGCAATTTGTTTTGACGAAGTTACAGCTCGATTTTACATCGGAAAGCAGGCGCGTGAAGTTGTTCATACGTTTCATAAGCCTCCAGTTCTTCCTAATCAAAAGAAAGTTAATAAAATAAGCAAAGCTTTTTTGCCAGCGCATCAGAGTGCTGCTGTTGTTACAGACATCAGCGGGGGTGAAACAGTTTGGATTGAAACTTCTGAGAAACAGCAAGAAGAAATAATAGTAACACTAAATATTGGTAAAATGCACTCCCAGCTACGGAGATTAAGGAATGAATCCTCGATATTAAAAGACGCTGTTATTACTGCAATACCAGCGCACTATTCACGAGTATTATTCACTTGTACTCGAATTACATCACCGTTGAAGTGCATAGACTATTATTTACATCAGCCGTCAGATGAGAAAGACAAACAGAGTAATAAACAGCAAGGACCGCCGCAGGCCACAGAGGAATTCACGCTCGGGAATGGCGAAGATAGATTGGGTTTCATTATGTTTGAGTGTGGTCTCGAGGGAATAAAATTGAAAATAGTAAAAAGGTCGCAGTTTGAAAAGGGTGACAATGGTCAGGATGATAAAAAAACAGAAACAGAAATATTTTACACTGACAGTGTTAAGAGCCATGATGAAGATAATACCTCCGCTCCGACAACTACCACCGAGCCTGAAGCTAACACCGCTACGACAAATACCACTACGCCTAATCCCCAAATAAACCCTAGCGCTACTTCCACGAGTCTTGTGACGAGAGTCACCAATGGTAATACTGTATCGTGTGTTATTGAGTTGAAGACAGTTTGGTTTAACTTTGCCGCACCACCCCGTACTCCCATAACACGAAAGATAGATTTCACTCGACTTGATTGGAATTTATTGAGCACGGCATCACCAGCTATCAATGCGTGGATGAATCCTAGCAATAGGTTTGCTATACGCATTGTTCATATGTTTCGTTGTATGTACAGAAGATCAACCGCTGTCGTTGCTTGTTTGATGGCTGAGTCTTTGGATGTTCAAGGAATTAATATGCCAGTTAAAAGCCGGTATGGGAGACTCACACCGCTGGCTAAAACTCTTCAAGAAGACCCTTCTTGTCAGCTTTGCAGTATTCTTCAAAAGTATGTTCTTATGTCGGATCTGAAAGCCATTAATGATAATCTTCGGGAAGATGATGTTCCACCTTTGTCTACGCTTCGTCAAGTATAGTTTTTTTTTATTTGGTAATTATTTACAAGTGGGGTCCACTATTTTAATTTTCATTTTTTTGAACGAAATTTCTATTTGATTTTATTGATATATATTTTTTTTTTTTTTGAAAAATACATAAAAAAATGAAACAAAAAAAAAAAGTTAATCACCACAATTTTAAAAAATTTTCAGATCATAGCAGTTGTCATTGAAAATTCAGGATTACATATGCGAGTCGCTTTGCTGATTATCAAATTAATTGGCTGCAGTCATAGAAAGTAGGATTTTCCTATTTTAATTTTTTAGCAAATTATTTTCAGCTTCTATAATTCTTTTGAATTATTTTCAGGTTGAGTCTTGGTCTTTTCTATGTCACAATGTTTATTTCAATGTGGATTTCAAATACCGCTGCCACAGCGATGATGATTCCTATTATTGAAACAGTTCTTGTTGAATTAGAAGCGGTAATTAAAAGAATTCTTTAATATTAAGTTATATCACAGTTGTAAATACTCAAGTTTTATAATTAATTGCTTGATAATAATATATTATTTATACAGCAAGGTCTCGGTGACATGTTTGTGTTTGATGATACTCCGATTAACCAAACAACAAATCATGATGAAAGGTTCGTTACCATCCATTAAAACAAAACCAATTTAATTTTATTACTACAACTGTGCTTCCTCTTATTATTTTTAGTTTGCATTCAAAAAAGTATCACTAATTAAATTAAATAAATATTTTTAGATCAAAAAGACCAACACGCAGTACGATGGTCTATTATTTATCAGCTTCGTATGCATCGAGTATCGGTGGGATTGGCACCATAGTCGGAAGTGGAGTCAATTTAACCCTGAAAGGATTATACGAAGAGTAAATATTATTATTTAATAGTCAGCAATTAAAATTTGGATGATATTAAAAATTTTATTTTTAATTCTCCAGGCGATTCGACGAAGGTCCTGGAATAAATTTCGCCTCTTGGATGATTTATGCCGTACCACCGATGCTTATTATGGGATTCCTAACGTGGCTTTGGCTTCAAATAATGTACATGGGACTTTTTAGGCCAAAAAGTCAAGATGCGCGTGACATAAATATCGGCGAGGAAGGCGAAAAAGTTGCTAAGTCAGTTGTTGATAAAAGATACAGAGATCTCGGACCTGTTACCTGGTACGAGTCGATTGTCGCTTTTCATTTTCTTGCCGTTGTGCTTCTTTGGTTCTTCAGGAAGCCTGGATTCGTACGTGGTTGGCCTACTTACATTACAGACCTGTTAGTTCATTTAAATACAATTATCATAATTATTTGTCCCTTTATTCGTGTCGATAATTATTTATTTTTCTACAGATCAGTGAAAGATTCAACGGCTGTTGTCGGGATAATTATTTTGCTATTCATCATACCATCAAAGTTAGACTTTCTTCGTGCATTTGACAAAGATCCGAGCAAGCGACCGACCAGACCGTCGCCTGCGTTGATTGACTGGAAGACAATTCACCAGAAAATGCACTGGAGCTTAATTTTTGTCCTCGGCGGTGGATTTGCTATTGCTATTGGCAGTAAAAACACTGGACTCTCTAAAATGCTCGGAGAAGAACTCGGACACTTGAGAAATGTTAATCCTATCATTACTCTATTTATTGTCTGTTTATTCGCTGAAATTGTCACTGAATTAACAGCTAACGTTGCTGTTGCTAATATAATCGTGCCAGTTTTAGCTGAAATGGTAAATAAATTAAATTTAACTAGCTTCAACGATTGATATTTATGTCAAGTATTAATTATTTTTTTTCAGTGTGTCTCAATGAAAGTTCATCCACTGTACTTGATGCTCCCAGTCGCTCTCTGCTGCTCGTTTTCTTTTCACTTGCCTGTCGGCACTCCACCCAATGCAATCGTCAGTTCAGCTGGCCACATCAAGACTAAAGATTTTATTATTGCAGGAATAGGCCCGACAGTAATAACTCTGATAGTTATATGCATATCATGGACCACTTGGGGTGTCTACGTATTTGACTTACATGAATTTCCCTCGTGGGCTCATGAAAAGTAACCATTTTTGCACTTTTTCTCAACCTGTCTGATGAATAAGTATTAATAATACTATGCCGTGATAATATGGATATTCAGTAATGATTTAGATCAATCTCGATGATTATATTTTTGTTGAAAAAAAAATATACACTATAACTTCCTGTTCAGATAATTATTTGTCACTGTTTTTAATGTAAATAAAAAATTATACGAAATTTGTACATAAAAAATGTCTTTCTTTATTATAGTATTTATTAAATAAAAATTTATAATAATTATTTAAATTTTTTTATTTTTAAAAAACAAAATTAAACTTACCATCAAAGTCAACTTCTTCAGTATTCTGTCCTGGAGCCATTGTGTTGACTAATAATTGTTATTTTTATTTAAAATCAAAGTCCGATTAAATAATATCGATATAAATTATCAATTCCACTTTTATTAAATATAACCTTTTTTTTTTTTTTATAAACACCGCTTATAATTTAATTTAATTTAATACTAATACCGGTAATTTATAAATAAAAATAATTTAATAATTGGTTTATACAAAATAACTTTATTTATCCATAATTGTTTAATTAATCTCATTTATAAACTCCGAAAAAACTTGTAATTGTTTTTCCAACATCACAACCTTTCTAACCTCAATTTCTAAAACTGCGCGCGAAACTTCAAATCAGCTGTCAAACTTTTTTTTTTTTTTATTTATTTAAATAATTACACTAACCAGTGTCAGTTAAATTATTTACCAACTAAATTAATTTATTTTAATCAATTCTCTCAGTGTTAATTGAATCAAAAAGTAATTTAAAAAAAATAAATTAAACTTAATTTATTGAAAAAAATTACAAGAAAATTCCAAATAATTTTGATATATTGATGGATCACTTATTGACATAATAATAATAATAATAACAATAACCAGTAAAAATATTATTAGCTGCGTGCGCAACGTTTAAAGTTACGTTTATAATACACGTAATTTTTTATTACGGGTGGAGGGGGTAGAGGGATATGTGAATACGCTACATACGTATATTTAAAATGAACATAAGTATATTACATGGTATAGGTATATGTATACGTGTTTAGTTAACAATTTATATTTATGGAGTAAATATATACCCCGAATGTGTATGGGTTTGTACGGAGTACGGAGTACATGTAAGTAATAAGTGTAGGTCGGTATAGCGGCGAAAGAGAGTACATAGAAGCTATACCGTCTCGTCATATCATATAATTTTGTTCTTAAAAAAAAAAAAAGCTCCAACTCTGTGACTGTGAATAAAATCCCCGATAAAATTTCGGCTGGAGCACAAATTGATAATCTTCCAGTCATAATTAAACGTCCGCTATAAATAAAAATGGATTGATGGTTATTTTCAAATATCTTGCGCTCATCAAGTAATTTTATCATACTTTTTTATTTTCTCCATCATTACTATTATCATTGTTATTATTTATATTTATTATTAAATTTCGTTGTCATTGTTACGTTCAAGGTACGGTCGACAATTACTCGGGCGGTTATTACTTTACTTTGGTATATGCAGTACAGGTATTATTTATTTTATTAAAGATAAGAAAACGAACATACTTTTAGTCTACATACGGCCTTGTATGCTAATAGATATTGGCATTTGAACCTCATCGATGGCCATATTAAATTATTTAATATCCAAATATACCCGTGATATCAAGTTATAATTTTATTTACTCAAAAAAAAAAAAAAAAAAAAAAAAAAAAAAAAGTATTACAATTTTTTTTCTATCTATATTAATTACTTAATTTGATGATTATAATTTTATATTGATTAGTTTGTGGTTAAATTTAATCAAATTTGTGGGATGATTTTTTTAGTTTTCACCATATCAATGTTTAAAAAATTTCTAATCACGCCATAACTCATGGCCGCTAAATAAAAAAAATTCATCGACCAGTATGACTCCATGCACATAAATATTTTAGCGATAAGTTGGATAAAAATTGGTGTCCATAGTAGTACCGCTAACAATACAGAAATTTTACAAATAAATATTATTTTTTCTACATCACAAGTTTCCTCTTTAATATTCTCAGCTGACTGTACATCAATGCAACTGTTTGTCCATTGAATAGCATCAGAACTTGTGGGTTGTTCATTTTTATTATCCTTTTCATCTTCAACAGATTCTTGTTGTTTATCACCTGTTACTTTATCCATTGACTCCACAACGAGTAAATGTTGTTTAATATTAAAACAGGTGTAATTACTTTTTATACAGCAAACAGTTGACAATAATATTGATCCAAAGTAAATAATAAATATCAAGAGAATCATGTGAGTTTTCAAAACATTCGGTGGTATTAAACATTTATTATTTTTCATACACTTTATCGTTATTTCATTATCAAGCAAATTCTCTTCTATATTATTTATTTTTCTTGTTTTTTTTAGTTCTAATTTGCTGAATTCAGATCCCGGGTTTGAAAAATACCATTCTGGAGTATCTTGAGAGTTATTCAAAGCAGACTGTACTATTTCTTGAATTTTGAAGATTATTTTATTGGTCTCTGACGAATTTGTAGCCGTAGATTCAACAGCATTTAACGTGTTGTTATTATCATCATCTTGAAATATAAAATCAGTTATATTCATCACACTGATATCATCCAATGCATCAATTGTATCTAATCCATCAAACTGTTCCTGTTCTGGTTTGCTAATATTGCTATAACAATCATCAAATGGAAAATTCATCATATCAAGACACTTTAATTCGTATGATCTTACATAACTGTTGATATTTTCGTATCCAGTTAAATATAATAGCATCACTGATACAATTGGTACCATCCATTGACCAACAATACTTATTATTGTAAATATATTTCGGTTTTTAAAGAACCGAAATTGCGAGTCAAGTTCTTCGATACTTGTTGAATAGCTGGACATTTTTTTTGACGATAATAGTTCTTTTAATTTATTTTTAACACACCCGACGTTGTAATTACAATACAGTAATTTACTAACTACAGACACAAAATTATTAACAAATGGAACTATAACTACGGCGTAGTTCATTAAAAGACTTTTAAAATCACATTCGTTAGAATCATCTAAATTTGTATGATTGTCACTGGTATTATTATTGTAACCACGTAATATTCCGATTTCCGTCTCTTGTTCGTTGGAAGTAATATTTTGTTGCTTCAGCAGTAACAGTACTCCTATAAAAATATTGCTCAAGAAGTCTGATAAAATCAAAACAAAAATAAATGACTTGACGCATTGTTTTAAATTTTTTCGTAGTAACAGTATTAAAGAAACAAAAGTTGATGTTATTAAAATAATTCCGATGGTTGTTAATAAATTAAAGTACATTTTTTATTTGTCATCGAGTAACTTGTTCGTAAAATGACTAACTAATACTAAAATTTATTTTTTCATAAGCTACTAAAAAATTTAATGCGGGTAGAATATTTTATGAGGGTTAATATCTGAGGAAAATTTTATCATTTATAACGGTACAATTATTTTGTTCTCTAATACGGGTTTGATAATAATTTTTATTAATGAAAAATAATTCTTTTAATTAAATAAAATAATCTGTAATTTTTATTTCAGTTAAATACTAAAAAAATGTCAGTCCGAAGACGAACAGATCCTGCACCAACCCAGAGAATATGGGACGCAATAAAGTTAACTGTTCACCAAAGAAGTTTGCCGAGCAACGAACGAATAGTTCGGCATTTTGCTCGGGTTTATAATATGACCGAGCTGGCAGCTCAGGAGGAATTGAACAAGGCTGTTGAGGATGGTTTGGTTTTCCTGAAAAAGTCACAATCCAAAGGAGGGCTTGACCAAGAGAGCTACCGACTGCCGTTGGACCCGAGAGAGGACGACGGTCACGATTGGTACTGCTTCAAGTGCCAAAAAGCTGGAGTTGTTGAGACTTGTCAGACATGCTTCCGTGTTTATCATCCCAGATGCCACACTCCAAATAATTCTGACCAAAAAATTTGCCAGTTTTGTGAGCAAATCAGTGCTGATACTTATCATGATGTAAAAGCACTCAATCATATCCTAGGATTTACGTGTGGTCATCTTAAAGCAAAATTACCGCCCGAGATAACAAACAGAACCATTGTGCCAGACAGCTCGGTTGTTGAAAAACCAGCTGGTGGTTTATGCGGACCAACTTGGATCAGTGAAGGCGAGGATTCCTGGCGTCCGGGAATTTTGATTAAAAATCACATGGACCTTGCTATCATGGAAGCCAAAACCAAGAGAAATGAGTACAAAAGTCTCGCTGAATTTCAGACAGATGCACATAATATATTACATAATATTATTGTATACCATGGAGGTATTGATCGACCATTTGATTTTTATTAGACTATTATTTATTTTTTTCATTTTTATTTTTGTAAATATTGTTTATTTTTTGCTTATCATTTTTATTTCCTCTGTTATTCAGAAGCTTCGGTGATCGGAGAAATGGGTAAAATAATGTACCAAGATTGTTGCTACGACTTGAAGGAAATCCGTCGGTGCGCGGACTGCTACAGAATATCCAATGAAAAATCTGAAAAAATGTGGTTCTGTATACCTTGCAATCCCCCTCATCAGCTTGTTTATGCCAAACAAAAAGGCTATCCATACTGGCCAGCTAAAGTAATGGAGATTAAGGGAAATATTTATGACGTCAGATTTTTTGGTGGGCATCACATGAGGGCTAATATTGAAAAAATTTTTATACGCTCTATTACTTCTAGTTTACAAAGTTTACAGGTAATAAAATAAGTATTTTAGGTAGCTCATATTATAAATTAATTACTGTGTGGTTTTCGGAAAACTTTAGTAGTCGCCAATTAAATTAAAGATAATGAAAGTGGTAAAGTTAAAAAATTATTATATATTTTTAATAGTTAATTATTGTACACAGCATTCGGATAAGGGAAAGTGGAAAGACATTAAGGTATATTAAAATTAATGGATATGCTGCTGAAAAATTAGCAAGCAATTATTTATCAATGAATGGGTTTTTAAAAATTTTATTTATAATTTTAATTATATAATTATGATATAAGCTGCAGCTATAAATTATTTATTTGCAAGCTCGTGATAATTTTAGTGAGATAAATATTTAATATGAGTATTTATTATACAGATAAAAAGATCAACCGCATGGAACCGGGCTTTTGAGGAACTGAAGCACCACCAGAGCTTGCTGACGAAGCTCGCCAAGAGTTCTTTATTGGTAGCTCACAATAACAACAGCACCAATGCCGCGGGAACGACTGACGACGTGGAGGGTCCGAAGCCGTCAAAGATGCGGCGTCACCAGGAGTCATCGGAGTCATCACAAGGATCACAGGTAGCGTCGCCGAACGGCGTGTCCCCCGTCAAACTTACAAAAGACTTGAGAGTGAGAGTAGAGAGGTTGATGTCGGATGGAAATTCCGAGATACAGCTTAATCAGGAAAAGTCGGAGAGTGCCAACGGGGATGGAGATGGAGATGGAGATGGAGATGGAGTCGGAGATGGAGGACCAGACGAGAAGCCGGAGGTCAAAGACGGCAGCAGGAGCACCAGCGAGGAGCGACAAGTACCATTCCTTCCAGTCGCTATCGATGAGGAGCCACCGCTGAGGATCAGCAGCAGTACCTGTCCGGAGGGGCTCAAGAAAGAGGGCTCGCAGGAGGACATGGTCACGTCGAGTTCCCAAGAACCCAGGTCCAAGTGCGTGCTTGTTCAAACTGAGGAAGTTCAGCCGGAGACTGCACCAGCAAAGGTAAGGAATCTTTAAGGTTTATCAGCAGATATGTTTAGAAAAAAAAAATCCGTTGTCGGGCTTGGTATTGATAGGGATTAATTTGCGCTATAAAAGTACTCGAGTAGTATGTGATATGTTTCCAGATGAAGAGGGAACGGAGGACTTCAGAACAAACTACAACTGCTCCAGCTTTGGAGAAACTACGCAGGGAATTTGAACTGGATAAATGTCGGGAGTTGGAGAGACTCCAGGCGGAACATGCCAAAGAATTACGACAGCTTACGGAAAAACATCAACAAGTTATCTCTGAAATTAAAAAAAAGCAATGGGTAAAATTTTTTATTATTTTAATTTTCATTTTTTTGGAACAAAATTTTTTTGTTTAAAATACATAAAAAAATCAACTATCTAAATAAAAAAAAAAGTTGATTACCACAATTTTAACAAATTGTCAAAAAAATTATAATTTTAAAAAAATTGTGATATTCAATTTTTTTTTAATTGTTCATTTTTTTATGTACTTTTCAAAAAAAAAAAAAAATCAAAAAAAGATAAAATATAAATTTTATCCAAAAATATGAGAGCTAAAATTTTTTCCAATTTTTGAAAGCAAAAAATCTATCGAAATATTTTTTTTTCCTTTCATGAAATTTTTTATCATAAATGCGCCGTAAAAATAAGCAGAATTTAAAAAAATGTTAATTTTTCACCTAGATATGGCCAAAAATTGAGTGGACCCCACTTGTAAATAATTAAGATTTCTTTTTATTATTAATTTATATTGTATGATCTTTAATAATTATTTTTTATTTTTATTTAGGGAGTTATTGTCCTGAGTCGTCAGTGGAAAAATGTTTTATACACACCTTTACTACTAGAGCATAATTATAAAACAAAACACGTGAAACCACTCAACGTTACCTTTGCAGTTTCTGATCCCGAAGACGTAAGAATTATTTTTAATTTTTATAATATTCATTAATTATTTATTTCATTTGGATTGATAAACTAATAATTGTTTTATTGGGAAAATATTTTCAAGATGAAGAGTAAATTAAAAAATTTTTAATTACTACATAATTAATTGATTACATTAGAGTATAAAATAATAAATAATTGAATAAGTAATCTCCGTAGGAGAAATCTGTTCTGTACGTGACAAATGCTGAGCAAGAAGATAGTGTTTACAATTCAAAAAGGCGTAAGAGTTTTCTTTTTTTTTTTTTAAGTTTATTATTTCAACACGACGTTTGCCACAAAATATTTTTATCGCTTAAAGTACGTGCTGTGCCTTTGCACAAGGGGCCTTTTTTATTCCATACAAATTATCATTTTATGTAATTATAAATCATCTCCATTGATGGGTAGTAGATCAGTAGGCACATCACCAACAACAACAAATAATAAATTTAAAATCCAAATTGTAAAAACGCAGCTCTGCTCGCACATTCTCATATCATTTTACTTTATACTTAAATCATAAATCAAAATTATCACATCATATAAAAAAAATAAAACTCTGCCTTGATAAAAAATATAAAATATTAGATAAAATACGTAATTAATATTTAAACTAATTGCGTTATGTATAAATAGTTAATTATTATGTTTATAAAAAAATAATATAAATCACAATTAGTAAATCCACGTATATTAGAAGCTTCTGTAAATGAACACACAAAGTTTTTGCTTTGCTTCGTACACAGGAAAATTTGCTGACGGACGGTGAAGGTAGTGCAGGTGACGGTGACGATCAAGAGGTGACGGATGAATGCGCGATGCTCATCAACACGGATAACATTTACAAGCATTCCCAGGTGAAGCCTGGACCCGACAAAAGTACAGGTATATTTAAAGACAATAGTCACTATCAACAAAAAATAGAACAAGGGTTTCAGACTTACTACAGGTCTATTTTCAACCAACAACTAAACAATTATAATTATAATTATATAATCCAACACTACTCTACAAGTCTTTGGATTTATACATAAAAAAATTAACAACTCCAAACACTGCTTTGAGCTTCGTAGACCAAACTAACTGACCAAGCATGTTTACTTAAAAAAATTCTCAATATGTTTAAATATTTGTTTGCTTTTTTTTTTTTTTTTTATTTTATGCTTCTTATCGTCTAAAATAAGTGTGACGTCTTATTAAAAATCTTATTTGGCTTTTAAAAAAAAAAAATCAGGTGTTTGTGGTGATGGTCTGACGGTGCCGGTTAGTTCTCCACGTGGTCGTGAAACTAGTCCTTTGTCTACACCAATACCCACTGGTCCAGACTCACTAACGTCTCCCTCGCCACCTGTCGCACATCACAAGCGAGGGAGATCATTGCAACCTACACAGGTACCCGTTAGCTCGCGGGCGAGTATTGTCTTTCCATTGCTCGCCAGCGGTGGACTGTTCAATCAGCCACGGGATCCTAATAACATCAGTAAGTCTGATAACACTTTATATGACTCTACTTCAATTTATTTAATTATAAATTTAAGTTCATACACAGGCATGTTGATGAGTCAATGGTAATTAATTGTATTTAACAGCAAAAAATATATTTTATGGCTCAAAAAATTATAATCATTGCTTCTACTGGCTTTATTATTAGAAAAAAAAAAAAAAAAAGTTATTGCTCCTTAGTAGATTTTTAATTCAAATTAAAGAGAATTTTTTCTTTGACAGACTATGGAACTCTTCAAGAAGAAAAAATGCCCCAGATACATGTGTCGCAATCTCATAATCTGGGTTCTAATCCGAGTATTTATTCCGGAGGCCACAATAGTCCGCATAGTACTGGCAGTATAGATCAAATAATGTCTCCGACAGCTCATCAATCAACACGACAAAATAATGCGGGTGAAGATTTGTACAGCTGGATGGCCAAACAGCAGGAATTTATCAAGGATAATGAAAAGAGTAATCTTAAAGGAAATTGGGTAATTTTTATTATTTTTTTGTTTTGTTGATTGTTTGTATTTGTACTTTACTATTGTCTTTATTTATTGATGCACTTATCAGGTCTTTCGTACTGAACAAAAGGCTACTAAGGTATCACAAGTCATCTGTTATTGTTATTCATTTTATTTAGTTCAATAACAATAATTTAGCCAAGTAAACTATTTAATTACGAGATATTGAGAAGACTATAATTTAATATCACCATTTTTTATGTAAAATAAAATTTTCATTGTTTACTTTATAAATGGTTAAAAAAAAATATTTATGATAAAAAATTGAAATGTTACAATTATAGAACGGTGAAAAAAAAACTGAGCAATTATTGGATATTTATGATACTAATTTAGAATACATAAAATTATAGTATAAATTTTTTTTTAATTATTTATGGAAAGCAATTTAAAATAACCTTGTGATAAAATAATTGGAGCAAAATAATTACAATATTCAACAGCTTACATTTATTTTATAATTCATATAAAATTTTAGTTTTCAATTTAAAATTTAATCAATACTAGAATAAAAATTTACATTACATTTAACAATTAAATTAATTGGATTCATAATAAATAAATAATTTCAGGATTCAAAAATAAACACGATGACAACGGAGGATACAGAAGATTCAGATGTGCAAAGTGGTGCTTGTTTGTATCCAATGAAAGACTCACTGCGTTTATTAGATGCTCACTTGATATTTGAACCGCTGCTTTCATCACTGTCAGTGATGCCTCAACAAATGTTGTCAGCAATAGGTTCTGGCAACATCAACAACGTGTCTTCATTAGAGTCATTAGGGTCTAATTTATCTCTAGTCGGAACAATGGACACAATGAGAATAGACATTGTAGTGAGTGAATTTGGTAAAGTTCCGGATAAAAAGAAAGCGACGAAACATCCACCAAGAAAAGGATCAAAATTTTTTCTCGATATTCCTTCAGAGACTCCCGCATTTTTGTGCGAAAAAATTGGAATCGACATTGACATCAAGAAGATGGCTGATATGACAGTGGATGATATGATCCAAAGGCAAAATGTCTTGTACATTTCACGGGGGCAGTTGAAGAAACACACCAGCACTGTTGTCAATTTCAGCTTAAACATTCGTTACATAAGTCAACAGGTCAACATGCCATTGCTTAGATTGCTGCATCAGATAAGCAATATGTACCAGAATGTTAAAGAAACGCAGATGGAGTTGAAGGAACAGTTACCAGAGACCAAAAGAAATGCCAATTTAACCGTAAATGAGATTAATATAAAAAACGGTTCATCATCGACGTCAGATCTTCAGGATCAGCACCATCTGGGTGGTTGTAACATCAGTGATGGTGGTAAAAAAATAGACGAACCATTACTGCAATCTAGCTACGACAATAATCAGTCGAAAGTTTTATCACCTTCCTCAAGTATAAGGTCACGACCACAGAGTTTTGCTCAAAAATTAAGAAGTACTGGTAAAAGTGTAAAAGGTTATATTAATTTAAGTGAAGGTGTTATTACTCCCAGCTTTGGTGCTAGTCCCAACGGTTCTGGCCTCGATAAATTCAGCGTTTTATCCGACAAGTGTAAGGATAATTTTATCTTGACTCCCCGTTGCTGGAGAACAATTTATTATCTGCTAGACTTGTATGCAACTCGACCGGAAACCAAAACCATAACTCATCGGTTCTCTTTGCCAGCTGAAGTTGCTGATAATTACAAAGGCGCCCGTAAATATGAAAATTTAATAGAAGTTAAAGATCCAGATATTGAAAAAGGTTTGAACAATGAGTCTGGTTTCACTCCAGTACCACCAGCACCACCACCACGTGAAATGAATGTCGTCACTGGTGAACGTACGAGATTAATAATTTTTGGCGTTGCTAAAATTCATCGCACACGGCTGCTTGCTACTTTGAGTGGTCTTAAGTTAGAAGCTGAAATTACTAGCCTCCATGCAAGCTTAACGTGTCGCAAGAAATCCAAGCCTGCGAGTCTAGAGTGCAGCTTAACCGGTCAAATCGGTAGAACAATGATCGTTCTCCTGGAAGGAGTTGCTCCGAACCAACAGACGGTTGTAAAAGTTACCGTAGGAAAATCTCAGGCTCTTTATTCGAGTGTTACACGCCGTCAAAAGGACAAAAACAGCGGATTATTAACTGTCGGAGCAGTTAATATTGATATACCTCAGCACCCGGTGGCTCTGCATGGAATGATGACCCGGGGTAGTAAACAATTGTCTTCAACGCTACAAGAATTGCGAGTTACGAGAACTTCATCGCGTATGTCACGTGGTCAGCAGCAAGAAGAGGCTGATGGATTACCGGGAAGTCCGCATAATTATCCACCTGCGCCTTCTATTGATCTTGAAAAACCCCAGCCGGGTCCTAGTCTTCTTGAACCGATTGTTATGCAATTTCATATTATTTTACAGAGTCTAAGTATTACTGCAGCGCTATTACCTTCACTTCAAGCACAATATAAAATGGATCAAGTTAATAGCTCGGGTATTACTGGCAGTAAAGCTAAGTTTACGATAGATCTACCTCATCATAGTCTCAGTTTTACGACAAAACTTCAAGTGACTGAGGCTAATTTACCGTCTGAAGCCAGCATCGAACTTCCTAAAGTTCACGTCTCCGCTGAGTACATACAAGACGGTAGTAATAGTTTAAATGACAGTAAAATTGCTGATGGTGTTGTTTTACGTCAAGGAAGCTATCTCAGTGCAACTGCGGATATTGGAATATTTGAACATTCATTGACCACAGATTTACTTAATCATTTGGTCTTTGTGCAAAAAGTTTTTATGAAAGAAGTTAATGAAGTTGTTCAAAAAGTATACGGTGGTGAAAAACCCGTTCCATTGTGGCTGGAAGATGAAGAACCAGCGAGTTCTAGCTTGAAAAGAATTTTATTTTCACTCGTTATACGTATTAAGAGGATACAATTAACAGCAACAACTCCGACAAATTCAGCAGTACGTTTGGAAACTGGTACAGTTGAACTACAATTGTCTAATCGGGTACAAAATGTGTCTGGTGCAGCACAACCAAATCCCTATACTAAATTATTTGGCAAAGCTCAAGTTGATATTAATCTATCACTTGGACAGCTGCTCAAGAATGTTATGTTTGAAGAAGCGGAACCGGAATTTCAGCAATTTGCATTTTTCAACACCCGTGTAGGTTTAAGAAATGCTTTTCAAGAAGAAATGGCTCAGGGTGCTGATAAAGAGGTTGTATTAATTACCCTTAAACGACCGCTTATTTATATTCAACCGATGGCTGTGGATAAAGCTATTCTTGTGTGGCTAAATTATAAAAATGCCTACGAGTATTGGAATGAAAAGCGTGCTAATTTAAATAAAGAAGTATTGACAGCAACTCAACAGGTATTTGAGAAGGTTCCGTTTGGACAATTGACAAGTCAATTGAGCTCACCAAATTTAGGGACTCTGTTTCTTCAACTGACTGTTGATGACATGGGTATTTGTGTGCCTTTAAATCCACTGCCACCAAATAACTGGGGAATGACACGTGGTTTGTATGATGGAGAATCACGTGGTGCTGTAGTAGTTACATTGGTGAATACGAGTATATCAGCGTGTAGCAGCGGTAGTTTAGTCAGTAAAGCTAGATTTGTTGGCTTTTGTTTGAGATTCGCTGAAGATTTTGAGACATCTTTGGACGATTGGAAACCTGATATGAATGATAGTAGTATTATGAATCTGTGTGTAGTTTCCGAAGGGACTTATGAGGTATGCAGTCGAACTGTTGCACAAAAACCAGATAAATCAGGTACCATATTTTTTATTATTTGTAACCCTAGACTGGTCAACAAACGCGACCTAACGACTTTGGTCAAATGATAAGGGATATGCCGGAATGCTTTTAGAGCGTACAGTGTTGCCAGTTCATACATGTTTGACAAACAGAGACTAGAAGTGTTTTCGGCAACGCCGCAGACAAAAAACTAGTTACGATTCTGGTTAAGCAATGAGGAAAGCCCCGCGAATTTTCATAAATTTTTTTTCAGCAATTTAACGTTTTCGAAGATTTTTGAAAAAATTATTAATATATTATAATATGTTCAAGGAACAAAGTCAAATTTTTTTTGAATAATTTTTATAAATATTAAAGATGTAATAAAAAAAATATAATTGAGCGCGACGTCACGCTCATACGTTGACCAGTCTAGGGTTAAATGACAATTACTTATATTCTTTTATATTTATTTAAATGATTGTTTTTAGACAATGCCAAGTGGTTATTAAACGTTCAATGGCAGATGGAGGGAGTTGATATACACTTTGATGTAAGCGTTGGTCAACAATTATCAGCTCTAGGACATACATTGACTATGCTGACCGGTTCTGAAGAAGACGATGCTAATATATCAGCTGACTACGACAGTGATGACGGTGACCAGCCGGAAAATGGAACTAGCCAGGTTAAGAAAAAAGTATGGTTGTTATATTTTTGTTTTGCTTTCACAAAAAAAGTCCTGATAAACGGAAACTCATTCTAAATAATTTATACTATTTTTTTTTTTATTTTTTAAAAATAAATACTCGACTGCACTTGTATTTAAATACAATTTTATTTTACAGGAGAGCATACTGATTAAAAAATCGAAGAATTGGACCGACAGCCTGCCTGCATTTGTCTTTGACCCTTCTTTAGACGCCAAAAAACGATCCAAGTTGATAGAAAAAGAAATGAACGAGCAGGCGAAGATAATAAACGACTTGAGGTCACTGGGAGCGTCACACGGTACAATCGAGCAAGAAATGAAGCGTTTGCACGAGTTAGAAGCCATGGTGTTCAAAGACTTCCGCAGAGATATGATTCAAAAGCTGAGAAGACAGTCTGTAAAAGCGTCAGGTATAAAAGGAAAACTTGGACTTGGTAACAAGCCTAATACTTACCGCTCGCGGTCGTTCATAGTACCGTCTCCTACACCTGAGCATCAACTGGAGAGCCCAGAAGACTTGAACGCCGACATTAATTCAGCTAACTCCGCGAGTTACGAGAGCAGTCCACGGAGTGGTCCAAGTCGGTCAGCTTCTTTAAGAGTCCGTGGGCTTGGTGGTCCTCGTGTTACCTTCAGCGATACACACACGATGTGTCGGCAGTCGTCACTACCAAGTGCAAGCTCGGACTTGAGTCTTCCCGAGGGTGACCTGGAGTGGCCGGAGACTTTAGACATCGAAGGCGAACAAGTCGAGCTAAGGAAGAAACATCGCGATATGAGCTGCACTTCTAGTTACGACAGCATGGAAGGCAACGCTCCGCTGCTCGATTCATACGGCCGTGAACAAACTTCAACTACTTGCTCGCCTCATATTGCACCACAGAAACCTCAGGAGCCTAATATCGACTTTGAGCTTGACGTTAAAGTACTGATCAACAGTGGAAAGTGCGTCTTGCATACCAAAGACTCCGCCAGAGAGGATGAACTTAAATTACTCAGCAGAATGAAGAAAGAACGTTCGTGTTCAGGTGGAAATTTTGACTTTCAACCAAGCAGTCCAAGTAGCAGCAAAAAACATCTCAGTAGCAAAGAAAAGTCATCAACTACCAGCAATTCACGGTTAAGATACATGCAGCATGCCAGTGTACCTCTCGTTGATCTCACAATCTTTCATATTCCCGGGCTGGATGTTAAAGTCCACTACGAGTCAAAAACTCTTCCGGAAGAATCAATTTCACCACGAACATCTGCTGAGAATAATTTATTAAATCCACTGTTAAGTTCCACGGGTTTAAGAAAGCCAAGTACGAAAAAAGCAAGTTTATTTGCTTGGATGACTCTCCAAAGTATTCCTGAGGAAACGATAATCAGCCCTCATATTTTGGAATTTTTAGAACAAACTCTCGAACCGATTCCCAGTAAAACATTAGCAGGAGGTGGACAAGCCAGTACTGTGTTCCCAATGGACAATGAGAGTTCATCTTGGGCAGCTACAGCTGCCAGTGGCAATTACGTCTATGCCAGCTTCCCTGTCGACGTGATAGTGTACTTTCACATGCAGCCTTCAACTTTCAGGTTCTCGTGTTTGCCAGTATCGCGTGTTGAGTGTATGCTTCAGCTGCCATCACTGGACATTGTTTTTTCATCAAAACGTGCTGAAGAAGAACAGACTGAGTTCGGTGACTTTAAATCATCTGCTGAGTCTTCTAGTACTAGTGTTAAAGAAAGCTCAGCGGTTGGTGGAGTGTCTGTTACCGGGTGTCTAGCAGATTTTTCTGTTTACATATTCCATCCGTACGGCGGTGGTAAAAAATCAAGTCTGAAGGAAGCTCAGTGGTCACCGCTGTCTGACAGCGAACGAAAAGACTCATTGAGTATAAATGTTGAGTTTGTTAAATTTCATTTGTCGAGAAGTAGAAAAATAAATTTCCAAAGTGAGCCGATGAAAAAAAGTAACGATGCCAGCAGAGCTGTCATAAGATTTTCTACCATAGTCGATGTAGGCTCAGCCTCATTTAAATACGACATGAGGCGAATTACGGAGATCCTGGCTTTTCCCAAAGCATGGTATCGACGTAGTATTGTACGAAGGCTATTTTTGGGCGATTTAAATTCGGGATTCGCTTACTCCGAGGGTCATACTGCACCGCAGATGAATACCGAAGAGGCGGTGATGGGCAGTTCGCTACTGAAGCATCATGATCGTCACGCGGGAGATGGCTTGTCGAAGAGCGCGCCAGAGAGGAGTCCAACTTTGACGAGAGATAAATTGAGACTGAGTTTTGATAATGATATGCCGCGACAAACGCGGCTCAAAGACATTGGACGAGGGTGGAGCTTCACTTCTGATAAAGGACAGTCTGCATCGGCGATAAAAAAACGAGAGTCTGCTTGGGAGACATTGGTGTTATTTGCTGTTAATTTCACACGACTGAATGTTCATATGAATATGGGCAATGTGATGGGAAATGTTGCTTGGATGACCAAAGACTTTCGCTCTGATGGTAGACTTTCTATTGGCAGTACAGGTCATAAGAATTTATACATTGGAATCGGGCTTGGTGGGTCTAGCTTGGACGCTAAAGGTGGTTTCGTTGGAGGTACTATAGAACTAAGTAAAATTGACACGTATATTCACATTCGAGAAGAGCCGGGTACTGAACCTGATCATACACTAGGGCTGAAATTATTCGCGCTGGAATTGAGACTAGATTACATGGGAACCAGTGTCTTAATGACTCGAGTTTCCTCGCTAGACGTGACTCTGAGGGACGAGTGGAAGATAAATCGCAGTAATGCCGGCGACGCTTTTATGCCGACACGTAGACCTGCTGTGATATTTATGCACGGCGACCTTGGCTGGGATCAATTGCAAATAATGATCAGCAAATCGACAACCGCTGATCTGCTGAAGATGTTTCATAAACTTGATGAATTCTTCAGTCAGCAGTTTAAAAACAGCAAGCGAGTGTTCAGTTCGCTGCAGACTAACAAAAACCAACGGGTTACGAGTAACAGTTTTAAGAAGCGAGGACAGAAGAAAACTCGCGGGGCAACTGGAGCTGAAGCTGCCTGGACCATGAACCCTACTGCGATGTCCGACGCACGTCATCATCGACACTGGCAGCGAGTGCTGGCTCAAGTTGCTGGGCTTCAGCTTGGAAGCTTGAGGTTTTCTCTGCCGACCAACGGCACCGTCCTTGGTGGTACCATGGAGCTACACGGGTGCAATATCAGCCTCGCTTGCTTCCACGGGATAAACTTTAAAAGTAAAAGCTGGGCGCTGTTTTCGCTCAAAGAACCCTGCATTAGTTTTGCTACCGAGGCTCAAGAAATTCCGAGTGTAGAGTCTCCTAATACTTGTGATGTTCATGTGGTGCAAACTCTGACTATTAGTTTGGGACAACAGCAAGAACAGCATGCTAGACATCTTTCTATGGGGACTGTTTGTCGGCTGAGTAGAAGTGTCCTTTTTCCACCTCAGTTCAAATCGCTACAAGAATGGTTCCATTATGCTTTTGCTAATAGTGAAATTGATGGTATTTTATTTTTATTATTATCTTATAAATAATTATTTTGAAGAAATATTAAATTGGCATTTATGGTCTTTTTAAAAATTATTTTATTGGTTATTATAATAGTATTTACATAGAAAAACAAATTAACTTAATTAAATTAAGTAAATAATTTTTAAGAATTTTATTTTCTTGATTTGAGTAGAAAAATTCTTAAACTAAGAAATTTTTCTTGGTTTAAGTAAATTTTACTTGATTCAAGAATTTTTCGTCTTGATCTAAGACAATGAAACTCTTTAAAATTATTTTCTTGGTATAAGAATTTTTCTCTTGATTCAAGTTAATTTTTTTTCTGTGTATATTTGAAGAAATTTTAAATTTTTATAAAATTTCAGAAGTTGATCGGTTTCCATCTGTCGAACGAGAGCGTTCAGAGACAACGGCTGACGGCAACACAAGCCGCGGTAGAAGCACATCATCGACATCCGGAAAACTTCAAGAGCACTCACATACACGCGAAATAATATTCGCGTTACCGTCGTTACAGCTGCATCTCAAAACGGAACATTTACAAACAGCCAAAACACCGGATGTTATAAGTACGTATTTTTTAATATTTCATAATAATATCATTTACCATTTTATAAACATATATTTTACATATATGTTATGTAATCATTAAAATCATATGTGTTGCATCTGCCAATATTATAAAGTCATAACTTATAACGGTTATTGTGTCATCCTCGGAGTAATTTTATTTATTATTGCAACAGAGCTTTAAATCTCGTTTTTATTTTTATTACTAATTTTATTAATTCAATATTTTTGGTAATTTTTTTTTTATTCTGTAAATTAAACGCTCAGTAAATTTATTATAATTTCAGTTTGGTATATTGTATTTATTTATATATAAATATATACATAATTATAATAATTAATTATAATTATATGTATATATAGTGGTAATTAGCTATAATCGTTTTTCATTGCCTTCATAGTGGTATATTAGAATTCTTCTAATAGTGAAACTGCAATTCTCTTTTTTCTCTATGTATTTTTTTAGGACTGCCTAGACATATAATATATAGTAAGTACAAATAAGTAACAAATGGTAAAAAGAAAAATTTATTTAAAATCAAAGCATTTTATTGAAACGTATTGAGCAAGATTTTTCAATAGCAGTAGAGTAATATATTAATAATATTAATATATACTTGTAATACCACTTCCCCGAATTTAAAATTTAGTTGCCCAGAGTTTTATTTGCATGAAGTAGCAGAGTCTTGTTACTAGGCTAACAAATAAAATTTTAGTTATTAAACAATGTTGAAAATTAAACAAATTCACTTTATTAATATTAATTTAAAATATTATTAATCAATGCAATTTTATTCCTGTGTACCAGGCGAGAAACCACTGGTAGAATGCAGCTTTATCACGGAATTCGAGGACCACATATTCGTTACTGTAGATGCAGAGGCATTTTTCTTTTTGCACGATCTCATCAGTTCTTATCACAAAGAAAAAGAACGAGTGGTAATTTATTAATAATTTTATTTTTCTCTTTACCTATTCACTTGTAAATTTCAATTATTAATTATTATTCGGATTTATTAGTACGCTACCCAAGGTGCAGGAGCATCAAGAGCTTACAGCCCAGATCCACAGGATAAAAAACGTGCTACTACAATTACTGCGAGTGCTTCAACATCATCAGCTACTTCTTCAACTATGACTGAGGAAGAGAAGAAACAATCAAATAAACAATTTGATCCTGCTGAAATGTTCATCAAAGATTGGCGATCTTATCGATGTAAAACTTGGCATTTAGAGCCAACTGTCAGGTAATATTAATTAAAATTATTACAAAAACTAGCAACCTTGCAGTCACTATGTGACTGCCGTGACTTGTGATCTATAAATAAATAATATTTTGTTTTATTAAATAATGACTTTTGTTAAATTGCACTGTACTTTCTTAAATATTGACGTTTTTAAAGATATAAGCTCATCCCGATGTTATACTCATCAAGAGCTTTCATTTGAGTACCCACATGCATTTTAATATATTTTTCATATTTACATATATATAATATATATAAATATATGAAAAATTGATGTGGGTACTCAAATGAAAGGTCTCGATGAGCATAACGTCGGGATGAGCTTATATATTTAAAAATTTTAATGGTTTACGAGATACAAGGTAATTTCTTAATTATGTATCTAGAGATAGAGCATTTTTGAATGCAGCCTAAATGCTTATCATAATAAATTAACTATCAGTAAAAATGATATGAAACCTTGAGAAGGTACAAATTCAAATTAAGACCTTTGCAACGACACTAAATTTCACTAAACAAAACCGATTTTATCATATGACTATCCTGGACACAAAATTTTTCTTATTCTCTTAATAATATAGATAATATAATTACTAAAAATTCTTAAAATAATTTAATAAAAAATTATACATGTATATATAATTTTTGTTATTGTTATAGATTAATATCTTGGGCTGGAAAAAGTATTGAACCATATGGTATTGACTATATACTTCAAAAATTAGGATTTTCACATGCGCGTACGACAATACCTAAGTGGATACAACGTGGGTTCATGGATCCACTTGACAAAGTACTAGCAGTTCTTATGCTGAGAATGGTGATGGCTGTCCGTGAAGATCCTTCTGATAATAATAAGTAAATATATAAAACAAATAAATAAATAAAGTCAACTCGTAAAGCTACATTGCCTCTGAAAACAGCAACTTTGAAGTTTATTAATAATGATTAATGACACTAAAATATACACATGTAGCAAATTTTACGAGCAACGACTACACACGTAGATAACTATATTTATCATTAGTCCATACCAACATTAGGTGCAATTTATAAATAAATTAAGTTGAGATACGATAAGATTTATCGAAAGACTACTTAATATATTCTCAATGAATTAATTAATAATTATGGTTATATATAATAATCACTAATCATTTATAAAATGAATGAATAGAAAATAATTTCATACTTGCGAATGATAGTTAACAAAATTATTACCATTAAAATTATTGTTATTATTATTTTTGTTATTGTGTATAAATTATAGTAATCAATGAGCGATTTATCATTGCTAGACAATTCGTCCATTCGTTCCGTTCTGCACCTATTATTCATGGACAAAATATTTAATAGGTCAATAGTACCTCTTATATTATAAATATATTATACATTCGAACAAAATAATTGAAAAAAAAAAAAAAAAAAAAAAAAAAAAAAAAAAAAAAA